ATACAAAAGGTGATCTGTTCGAGACTTCTCTCGAAAACAACACAGTCCATTTGCGGGTGTGATGCTCGGGTTTCTCCATTTCGTCGATGACATGAGCGACGAACGTCTTTCTTGCTTCGATCGCGGTGGTGCAGACCCCCGGAACCGCAAGCCGCAGATCAAAACGTCGGTCTCAGCCCCATTCGTCATCGTCGTCGTTCCATTGGGCCATTTTCTGCTGTACGTTCTTCGGCTAGGACGATTGCTGACGCCCGCCTGCTTTTCCCCAGATCAATATCCCTCTCGCTGTCCTCCACAGCGAGATCGCATGCAGGAACGAGTCAAATGACTCTGCAAGCCCCTCAGGAGGCCTGCACGTGGGCGGAGCGCTCATCCTCGTCGCTGTGTTTACTCTCTCTCGGCCTCCTGGTCCACCTACCACTGGTGGAGGCCCAAAGATCCCTGTCAACTCGTTCTGCAACTGTTGTCCTTGCCTCATTCCCATCCGCCATCGCGACTGTGACATCGGAATGACGTCCATCACTACTTTGACGCCCTCTCCTGATCTCCGCACCCAGCTCACCACTGCTACAGCAGGGTCTACTGCTGAACATGGGTCTTTCTGGAGTGTGGCTGGCACAGTCGAAAATGTCGATGGGCCATCAGGGTCCCTGCCTCTCCCACTCCACTTTCGATCAGATGGAGAGCCAGAAATCGAGCATGTTGAAATGTGAGGCTGTTGTTCCCCTTTCCTTTGCTTTTCGGTGGGCTGAATCCTTGCATCGTGCAGCTACAGTATGGCTGGAAAAGCCCTGAAGCAAAAGTGTGTCCAACTTGGCCTCCCTACCTCTGGTAACAAGACAGTCCTTCGTGAACGACTGGAGGAATTTAGTCATAACTGCGATGCATGGGACAGGTGCGTCGGAGCAGTCTGCTCAAAATAATGTTCACTCATCCATCTCCTTCCCAAGGCTCAACCAGGGGCTCACAAGGCCCACAAGGGCCCATGAGTGCGTTTGACGAGCAAGCCCAAGGCAGCCAGCCGCCCAAAGCAATCTATGCAGCGCCGCGAGCAGCTGCTTGGCATGACAGCATCTGACGCTGCAGCCACCGACGTCAGTCGGTCCAAGGACACACGGACGGCACCAGAAATCAGCGCACTGCTGCCTTGGATGAGTACTTTGTGCTCACTCTGGCTTTGTCCCACTGAACTGAATACACTGGCGGGCAGGCTGATACCATCACCAGCATGTATCCGTATGCACTGACGGACGGTATGCCCATGCCAGCAAGCACCCCAAACCCGCCTGCTCTTAGCAGCAACACCACGCCGCAATCTTTTCCCTGCTCATGGCCTCTTGGAAGAGGCCATCATCCAGAACATGGGCACGAGGCTCGTCGAAATTGTTCAAGGTGCCCTCCAGCCAAGTGCTGCTGGTTTGTCTCCATCTGTTCGACCCCAGGTGGCTGAAACGGTGGACATGGTGAGTGGCTATTTCCCCCACATCGCTCTATTCGAACTGACAGTAGCATGTTTGAGCAGGGTGCGAGTGGCGCAGCTACAACTGCCTGCCAACAACCTCCTTTGGAACCAGGCAGCTTGAACAAGCTGCGCATTCTCAATCTCAGGGACGACACTATTCTCCAACTGGCGGATAATGACATCCCAGATCCCCCTGCTGTCAGCTTCACCAATGATATACTACGTCTCAATGCAATGTGGGACGACCACACGACGCACTGGAAGAACGAGTCCATCATCACCATTCAAGGCCACCCCATCGCTATCACGTCCTGGCCATTGCTCTACCGCTATGGTCATGATCAGCAATGGAAGGGTACGAAAAGCAAGTGGACCGACTGGCGGGTGAGTGCCTCTATCACAACTTCCCTTCCTACTTCTGATCCTCCTTCTGGTTGTGCAGGATGTCATTGAACGCTACAGGCGGGGCACCCCAGATCAATTCTGGGCAGACTTTACGGCTGACAACGGTGAGCGGATGAAATTCACTGCCATTGTCCACAAACTTTGTGATGAGCGCAAGGCAGAACATGCTGCACTGGTGGAGCGTGCTCACCGAGAATTCCATGCCGAGTTCAACAACCTTTTCACTTACCGGCGAGGAGGAGAGGAGCAGGTGATGACGAAGCCATCTGCCATTGCGAAGAAATACATCGAATTGACGACTGGACTTGTGGTCCATGACTGACGATGGACAGTAACTAGTAGTAATACCATAGCTTTCTGTGAATAATGATCAATGCTACACGTTCTGTTGACTTGGAGGCTCGGAGTAAGCTTGTGTGCGTGTGTGTTTGTTTGAACACATTGAGGAAAAAAGGGGCCATACTTCAAATAAGGGGCTCTCGCTTCAATCTCACCATCTCCCATATCAACCATAACTACATCGTACACCAGACTCATTCAAACACAGGCAAGGTAGGCCTCATGGATGACAGGTACCACGATACTGACAGATCAGAATAGCATCCACAAGCATGTCAACACCAGTCACAAACAACGATACTAAAACTAGAGTGATGGGCGACGGTGATGCAAAGTCCAGAGCCCGAACTTATGATGGATGTCGAGATACACGACAGTGATGTTAGGCACTTTGCCCAGCTTGGCTTCGCGCTGTCAGTCAAGGACCTCGCAAAACAACACGGATTTCATGAAAATGCTATTCGGAACGTTTACATGCAACTGAACGGCTATGCAGAGGCAATGGAAGTCATCGAGGAGATGCGGGATGCTGCAGAGGAGAAAGCTGTGGCCGCGATACTGAAAAGAAAGGAGGAGGACATCAAGGAAGAGGAAGAGGAGTAAACATTCAATGCCATCAATACAAGTAGTATCTATGTCCCAGCCCGCTACAATATGACACCTTTGAAGTTCTTCCTCCAGCGTCCGAGTTCAAAAGAGTCCTTGTCGACACCTTCACAATCAGTCTTTGAAGTTCTTCCTCCAGTGTCCATCCAGTCTTTAAAGTTCTTCCTCCGGCGTCCATCAGTCTTTAAAGTTCTTCCTCTGGCGTCCAAGGTCAAAATTGTGCAAGCAGACAATCAGTCTGGAAGACGATGTGCACCAAACCACTCTGAGAAGGGCTTCCTCCAGCGTCCAAGGTCAGAATTGCGTGAGCAGACAATCAGTCTGAAAGATGACGTGCACCAAACCACTCTGAGAAGGGCTTCCTCCAGCGTCCAAGGTCAAAACTGCACAAGAAGACAGTCAGTCTGGAAGATGATGTGCACCAAACCACTCTGAGAAGGGCGCCTACAGTCTTCCTTCCTCGAAAGCAACACCAAAGATGGAGGACAAGGACTTAGGATCTGGGGCCCGAGTTATGAATATTGATACCACAGGGGATCACCATGCTAAGAATCTGCTTCCCGGACCACATGGGTTTTGGCACGATGATAACAGGTATTGGTATACTGCCGTCTCAGCCAGGGACCTACAACAAGATGTTCTGAACCTGGTTCCAGTCCATGGGGAACCCATGCTATTTGCGACAGTTCAGCATATGTTTCACTCCGTGGAATGCCCAGGATTCAGCGTCCAAGGCCAAGAGAGTCCTTGTTGACACCTTGCGTGAACAGACAATCGGTCTTCGAAGTTCCTCCAGCGTCTGAGGCCGAAATAGTCCTTGTTGCTAAGAAAATGCGCTATACAAACAGTGACTGGTAAAATGCAAGGCAAAGAAAGGGAAAATAATGTAATGTAGTACGGACGGCGAGCAGAGTTTAGCCACAGGAACAGCATCTCCCGCACTGAGAGCACTTCACCATCGGCCGTCTGTTAGGGTTCAGGAATTGCTCCCTTGGCTCAGTGGGATCATCATTCGAAGAAATGAGATACTTCACGATTGTCATGTTCGTAAATTCCACACTCCACCCTCCCCACTCGCAGATTCTCCGCAGTGACCAACTGCTTCTCGACATGCAGGAACTGGCACCCCCCCCCTCCGGAACGAATGTGTGCCATATGGAGTAGGGTCGATGTCAACATCGAGGAGGTTGTTCCGAAAAAGCTCCAGGAACTGCTCAGAGGACTGACGAGTTGAGCGTGAATCATAGTAAGCTGTCAGACAATTGACATACCATGGGACTATTGGCCTCTGAGATTCGGTCACCTGAAGCAATCTTTCGAAAGAGGTAGCCCGACGTGACTTTCGACTCCTTCAGCCAGGCAGCAAGTGCTCTCACTGGGCAGAGGTGTGCCTCGGACGATGAAAAGGGCCAGAGGTGAAACGGTTTGATGTCTAGGTAAGTGGGCACATCCATGAGTCAATAGTTCACGGTCAAGAGTGGAGTCACATACCGCCATTTTGATGAGTTTGCAGAAGGGAAGGTGTAGCACTATCTGGGTATCGTGCACGTGAAGATCGTGTACCTGTATCTTCAGAACCTCGTCAAAACGAAGCATGCATATAAATGCCACAGTATAGGCAGCTGACAGAAGCCGCCGTACACGCCCACCACCCCATCAACTCAGGTCATTACCAGAGCCACCACGCACGCGCTCGCCAGGCTGGTAGGCACGAATGGTCCAATTTTGGGGAGGTGGTTGTAATGATACAGTTTTAGCAATATTTCCTGTCAATTTCGCTAATCAGTCAATTTCAGAGCTGGGGGCACCCAAAAACTCACCGAGGGTAATAGCCCGGGCACTGTTTGCAACCTCGCCCGCTTGCACCTATGAAGAAGAGAAGGTGAATCATGCGGGCAAAGGGAGAAGAACAATACTACCTTGCGCCTGCGGAGCGAGCACATGTAGGATGATACCTCAATGGAAATGGAAGGGTTTCCAACCATCAGCCCACCTCCAATATCCAACTCGTGCCATGTCGGATTGCCTAGACCACTAAGCCTCCCAAATGCGTATGTCATGGACGCCCGCATCTTCTGTGCATGCCCATAGGTGCCCCGCTCGACATGAGATGGCTTGGGTGTGCCGTCGAGGTTGATTGAGTCACACCTGCCGCAGAAACACGTTGACCATCAGCAATTGGTCATACTGGATGGAACCATATCACTCACGCACTCATGATCCAGGCCACGATCAACCACGGTGTATCAGACCATGGCTTTTTGCTGAAAAAATCTTCACTCGGCCCCAAGAGATGGAGGCCTCTGAGAAAGGACACACACGAGTTCATCAGCCTGTCAAGGATGAGTGCCACTTTGGCCGTTAACAAGAAAGAACCTCCCACACCTCTTATATTTGGCATTGGTGCCCTCCGTGACACCCTTTGAGGCCTCCATCAGCGTGGACTGCAATGTCGTATCGATCGAGCTGGTGCCAACTGCGTGACACGACTCTGAAGTAGTGGACGTGATGTTCGTGTTGCTCTTGCGTGGTTCAGCGAGCATAGTCTCTTGTTCCGCAGTGAAGTCCTCGGTGATGTCGTCCATTTCAGGACTGCTGACAGTAGCAGGCATGAGCAGGCCATGCAGACCCAGAAAGCTCTGGACAGCGTCGATGATAGTTGCCATTGTCAGTGGTCAACGTCCGAGTTGAAGAGGGCTGAGACCCCTTTGTTGCCAGGCCAATTTGCAATTTGGCGGGTCTCTGATATGCAAAATGCAAACAATCAGCATGCGGGACAGTAGAAGGATGCCTCATGGTTGACATAACAGAGCGAAACTTGATAAGAGAGCTGGACCGTCCTATGACTCACATGCGACCGTCTTAGCGCCCATGAGGACCGTCTTTTTCGCGTCTGGCAGGCTCTGCTTTCCCTCATCCCCCCTGGGCTTTGCAGGCAGTTCTGACCGTCCACCAGAGGTTTCTTTGGCAGAAAAAGACAGTCTCACCTGCGTGACATCGTGAGCCCACATTCTTCCAAGAACAGTGGCTCACCAACAGCCCAACGGCACTCGATCGTCATATCAAAATCAGCGGCACTCTGCGAGTCGTCAGCCCTTAGCAAGATTTATTTCAAGTTAGGTGCGTGGCAAGCAAGATTGAAGTCGTGTTACTTACCATTGCAATTGGTCGCCAAATCGCCCCGATCCCACCGGTCCAATGCTCCCGCAGCGGATCCGAACAGAGATGTCACTTAGAGATCTGCAGGAAGGGCCCAAACTTCGGGGGAGCAGAAGAAAGGAAGGTTGACGGCACACTCATGCACCATATAACATGGGACTCACCCTCCGAGCATTGCTCTCTTTTCCCCCACCACTCCATCCTCGAAATCCTGCCAGTGGTATCGATTCTGCAACCACACAGCACACTCCTTTACTACATCCGTCCGTCAGCAAAACACGATGCCTTCGGTGAGTAACGCAAACCACCTACGATCCTCGATTTCCGCCCCTTGCCGTTCCGTGATGCGTGGCGTGTCAGTGTTCCGCGCTAGCCTAGCGCTCTTGTTTTCTCTTGCGTCCCCCAATAGAACCGGTTGGGGTTGCCAGGGGTTGGCTAGAGAGGGCTGAGCAAGCGAGCAACGGTGGATCCAGATCGGAGGTGCCTTGAGCTGACGGCTCGTATGGCATGGGCCCAGGAGGAGATGGGCGGGTCACGACCAGTAACGATTGGTCACGCGTGACCCGACCGTCGTTTTTTCCGGTTTGAAACTATACTTCTGACCTCCACTCATCGCGTCCCAGACACGTGCAAAGTCACCCGATTGTCGAGAGCCTGTGGGGTCATTTTTATTCCAGGCTGTGCATACCGCACGCTCACCATTAAGGACCCAGGTACTTTATTGATGACCCAGAGCTGGCATAGCGCTATCGCGAAACGCACAAATTCTATCATGCCCTCTCTGGATTTAAAGTCTCGGAACTTACACTGAGTCAAAGCTTTTGAGTTTACGATTCTGGGCTTCTCCATGACTGCATTGTCCCTGGAGCACCAAGGTCACACCAGCGGGCTCGACTTTTATCAAGATACGACTCGTACATAAATAAGTACCACAACAAAACCCGGAATAAATAAAAACAAATTCTCCCACTCCCTGCACGCTACCCCCCATCGCAAATCAATCACATCGAGCATCTCCTGCGCTACACACTACTGCCAGTTGACACGTGGACGCGCTCCTGAAAAGCAATTGAAGTCATAGCGGTTGCCGTATCAGAGTTGGCCACGAGCTCAGCATGATATTCTCGAACACCGAGGATCAGGCGTGGTCCCAGCACAAACAATCCCACAAACTCGAATATCTCAACGAAACCACCATAAAGCTGATAGACCAGGGAATATGAGTCCTATAGAAATGATGAATGATGTTCGCATGCATGTAGAAGTCGGTGACAGCTCGACATACCACTGAGAGCGTTGAAGAGATCAAACCGATCTGGAAGCAAGAGATTGCCAAAATACTAGCACGAGCAAAATTTCAGGGGAACAAGAGAATCCCATTCATATTATGAGCTCACCACGCAAAGTAACTCACATGAGTTTTCATTAGTACCGTGAAACAGTCATCGATAATACCTCTTGTTGAGTTTTGTCGCAGTTCACGGAAGTGCTTTACAGCAATCCAAACTGCGAGACACAGTGCAATGACCTCCCATACAGTGTCAAGTATCCAAGTCATGGAACTAAGAAGTAGGAAATCCCCCGTGTAGCTAAACATGCACTGATAGGTGCCAGAGAGAACGAATTCCTCTGGTACTCGTCAATGAGCCTGATCACTTAAACATTTCATACCTAATTAAAGCTTACCCACTGAAATATGCATCGTCAATATTGCGATGAACACTGCGTTGACGATTCTGATCGCCAGGAAGATGACAATGAGAAATATCAGCACCTTTCTTGATCGCTGATACATGGCATGTAACCGAGTGATCATGATGACTTGCATGATGTTTCAGTCAAGTCAATGTCACGGAGGTGCATAGCTCACCGCCAAGTATTACATTTACAACGTCATCCATCCAATTAAGTCCGTCGTTTATGATTAGGCCTGACAAATACAGCAACATTAGTTATCAGCTTCGAATGATCACAGGGTCTAAACAGACTCACAACTGTGGGTGTTGTTATGTTGAATCGACGAGTTGTTCGAGAATCTCACTCACCCCTGCATGGTGGTTCAGTGTTTCGACAGGAATTGAAGGCATCAGTGTGTAATACTCACTGCATCTGTCATCGAAATTGTTGGAACATCGCCTGTATGTCGCCCGTCACAAGAAAGAAACAGAGTATATGCGAGGACACATACCTAACATGGTCATCCTATTGTGAGAGATGGGTAATGAGCGCAATATCAATGGCTTAAACATCCAAACGTACACAGCACATCCTATTCCAACATAGCGCACCTAGGATATTCTGAAGTCAGCAAAACTTGGACTTGCTAAGCGTAAATATTGAAACACAAGGCACATACACTGAGGTAGAGAAAGGTCATCAAGGACCAGCGTTGCCTCTGCCGTGAACAAGTTGTATTTTCATGTCGTTCTTTCGATGTGGAAGTCCGCTCACCCAGATCAGTTCAACCTATAACACAATTCTGAGCGAGTTGGCTCCCCCAGTAATTGGGATCGACATACCTCTCGTCCAAACGTAAGCACTGAGAATGCCATAAGGATATCCGTTGTTCTTTTATACTTGGTCTTGCTCACCCCAATCGTACATCACCCCAACAGAGGCGGCAACTGCGAAATTGGAGTCAAGGTGAATAAAATTATCACCGTCATCATGCGGCTGATGCTCCACGAACCTGCAAAATAGCTGAAAATAACATTCCCATTGATGAGTGGCCACCAACTGGGATCATTCGAGACTAGGGTCATACTATTAGAGGATGGAGCGAGTGAGCGGGGGGATTTGGTGGATGTATAATGATCGCATTCGTGCTTGATATACCACAATCCAGCACTTGCATCGCCAAAGTGAAATTTGAGTGATGATGTCTGATTGATCGAAGTCCGTGTTTCTTCCACTTTCAGCCAGAATTCCAGTAGAAAGATAATGTGCATCCAGGGATACCGATGGGATCAAGGTAGAAGTTCTTCATGAAATTGCGAAGCAGTGACTTGAGCGGAATGTTTGAACACCGCAAAAGATAGGCTCATGATTTGCTATGTAGTGCAATCTTTGGGGTGTTCTTGGCATTGCTGGGTTCGGCCTAACAATAGAGGGAATCAAACATGTCGATTTTTAGATGACAGAATCGGGTAGAATCGAGAATCGACAAGAATCGTTGAAGCGACTCTGGAGCCGCTTGGAGCTCCCACGCTATGACATCATAAACTTTTGGCTCTAGGGGCACGAAGTTGTATTTCAACTTCAAGTGTACGAGTGTGTTTCGATCGCGAAGCAGTGACTCGGGCGAAATGTTTGAATACCGCAAAGAGAGCTGTTCGTGATGTTGGCAACGTGCTATATAGTGCGATCTTTGGGGTGTTCTTGGCATTGCTGGGTTCGGCCCAACAAACTATCATAGAAGGTCATAGATCTAACACAGGTTTGAACAGCGCCCAAGTACTAGTTGAGACATTTTCTCTCAAGGTCAGCAATATTGTTCTTACTTGAAATTCACTCTACTTACTCGACGCTTAATCGCAACACGAGCAAAAATCCACAACCTTTCTTGTAATTTATGTACACGCTGATAAAATGCGACCACAAGTATACATGTGTTATGTGGGCCAGTTACCTGTCATGGAATATGATCGACGTGTGAGGTGCCAGTGATGAGGGCAGTCGTACAAAGAAAGTGGGAGGCAGTACAAATCGAAATGGGGATCAAGCCACTCTGCATAAGCACGCCCAAAGATACACGATTTTATTCCATCAGTAATTTTGATATAATACATATGTGGTGCATGGGATCAATGACTATACTAGCGCATATGGGGTTCAGATGCTCAAACGGGGTCGGAGAGGTGGATATCCTGGGATCAATATGTCCTCGTTTCAATCATGATACATGGGGGTACCAGGATTCGAGGAAAACATTCAAGGTAGGATGCCTCTCTGTGATCCATTTGCTCGTGTGGTTGGTGCTTCGCATTAAGATAATCAATCGTCTTGCGCTGAAGATCATTAATCGTGACGGAAGAGCGGTCAGCCTACAAAACGATGTCAATGTCATTTTTTTCAACATTTCGACATTGTACTGAGCACCTTCACGTGTGCTTCAGATGCAGACGCCAGATCTTCGTTCCACCCTGGTGCATCATCAATTGTGGTTGAAGTTTCATGCTGCGTTCTGGACAAGTTTCTTCATTTCTTTCGCTCCAACGTCTCCAATGAAGGGATTCGTTCTGTTTCAGGGGCAACGCTTGGAGAGGATGTACCTCCGGATCATTGTTATGTGGCATCGTACTTTGTATAAGAACCTACGTGGCTCCTGCTGCGAGTTCGAAGGGGCGTGCAGACCGCTAGTGCGATGCTGATATGCTGTAGAACTAGATTAGCGTTAACGAATGTTATGCGATGATGATCGAGACGAGTTTGAGATGAATAAATGATTGGTATAGCGATTCGGTTTAGATAACGAGTGCGAGACTGAAACTAGGAGACTGGTATGATTGCCTGCAGTAGTGAGTGTACATGGGCTACTTTTATACTGCGAAATGCCAAGGGTCTTCGGGTATGGATAGGCCGAACGATTAGGTGAGAATGGACGCTGAAGGGAGTGGCGAGCTCCTGACAGGGTAATGAGAGTACGAAAGGATTGAGTGAGTAGCAATATAAACGGGTATGGTATTGACAGAATGACGAGTTGCGTAGTGGTTTTGACAGATTCGGGAGCGGCGAACTGATGATGAGGTGACAGTGACGAGATAGGGAGCTGAGGCCCGAGGGTCGGCAATGACGAGGCGCTGAAATGGAGGTGAGGTCCGTGCTGACTGACTTTGGCAGTGCGCTGATGGTGGTAGAGGTAAGCGTCAAGACGGCACTTTCCGGCGTTTAAAACGGTTTGTAATCACTACATTTGGCAATAGAGTCATGATGAGCAGCTAGTAGTATGTGGTTTTGAATCTGTGACCAATACCTAGCACTATGTACCGTCTTCCAAATTTGATCCAGGTCGATACAGAGATTGGTTGAAAAATACAGGTCGATACAGGCTCTGTATGCGTCTGTATATGCCTGTAGTAGGATCTGACTGGGCTTGAAGTTGTCTGTTTTGTGGGCGCACCTCGCATTTGCGTATCGCGACGAAACTCCGAGGCTTCCTGAAACTCTCTTTATAGAGCAGCGTACTGCAGTAAGGTAGCTCATTGAGTATGGGTTGCTTGGCGGGGAGGATGGACTTGAGTGAAACACTCGTACAGTTGAAGTTGAAATACAACTTCGTGCCCCTAACGTCATCTGAGCCAAAAGTTTATGATGTCATAGCGTGGGAGCTCCTTATTTTGGCATCTATACGACGCCAGCCAGCACCGTGACTAGTACTATGGAACAAATTGGGAACAACGTTGCATGCATGTGCATGAACAACCAGTGAACGAACTTCATAATGGCACCTACAAACGGCCTAGTGCAACCAAGGGCATTAATTTAGTGAGTGCTTTGGAAAAGGATTTGATTAGTATCTTGTCGCTTAGCGCTTATCCGCGAGCAGCTTTTGGTCTATCCAATCAGACGCATTCCAACAAGGACCAGGAAAACACCCTGTCCTCACGTCATCATATGGTACAAGAATAGTCTCCGACTAAGTAAATCCTTGCACGATTTTCTGAGCTGGTAGCTACCGCAGTGACACGTCATCTGCTTGGAGCTGCGCCAGGGCAACAGTTTTGCAAAGCATCCCCATCCTATACCTTGATCGGGCATTTTACAGGAAGCTTCAAGGAATTTCTTTTAAACGTATTCCAGGTGACTTGCGGGCAAATCCTGTATTACCAAACAAAATCTTCATGTAGGTATTCTCAGTGTTTTGTTGGTCTCATTGTTCCTATAATCCCTCGCGGTGATGGTCCGATGTGTTGTGCTGTGTTAATTACATTGATCCCCTGGATCCACATTGTTTTTGTACTGGAATTCACGTTGAACCACTAACAAGCTTCGATATCTATATCGTCTCTCAAATTTCAAATTTCACTTTGGCAATGTAACCGCTGATCGCACTACCGGCAGGTTGCCCAAATCATGAACAGTTCTCCTATCTTTGGGACGATCAAACACGCAACCCACTGCCTTGCGATCTCACCAACAACTTTTACCTTGATGCCATCGGTATCCCTGGATGCACATTGTCTTTCTACTACTGGAATTCAGGCTGAACCATTTACCCCGATCAATCAGATATCATCCCTCAAATCTCACTTTGGAGATGTAAGTGCTGGATTGTGGTTATCAAGCACGAATGCGATCGTCATACGTCCAACAAATCCCCCCGCTCACTCGCTCCATCCTCTAATAGTATGACCCTAGTCTCGAATGATCCCAGTTGGTGGCCACTCATCAATGGGAATGTTATTTTCAGCTATTTTGCAGGTTCGTGTCAACAGCATGATGACGGTGATAATTTGATTCACCTTGACTCCAATTTCGCAGTTGCCGCCTCTGTTGGGGTGATGTACGATTGGGGTGAGCAAGACTAAGTGTAAAAGAACCACTGATAACCTTATGGTATTCTTAGCGCTTACTTTTGGACGAGAGGTACGTCGATCCAAATTACTGAGGGAGCCAACTTGCTTAGAATTGTGTTATAGCTTGAACTGATCTGGGTGAGCGGACTGCCACATCGAAAGAGCGACGTGAAAATAAAACTTGTTCACGGCAGAGGCAACGCTGGTCCTTGATGACCTTTCTCTACCTCAGTGTATGTGCCTTGTGTTTCAATATTTACGCTTAGCAAGGCTGACTTCAAAATATCCTAGGTGCGCTATGCTGGAATAGCACATGCTGTGTACGTTTGGATGTTTAAGCCATTGATGTTGCTCTCATCATCCATCTCTCATAATCAGGATGAACATTTTGAGTATGTCTCCTCGCATAGACTCTGTTTCTTTCATGTGACGGGCGGCATATAGTTAGTGTTCCAACTATTTCGATGACAGATGCAGTGAGTATTCTACACTGATGCCTTCCATTCCTGTCGAAACACTGAATCACCATGCAGGGGTGAGTGATATTTTCAAAAGTCGTTGATTCAACATAACGACTCCTACAGTTGTGAGTCTGTTTAGACCCTGTGATCTCCCGAAGCTGACAAGCAATGTTGCTGCATTTGTCAGGCCTTATCATAAACGACGAACTTGATTGGATGGCTGACATCGTAAATGTAATACTGGGCGGTGAGCTATGCACCTCCGTGATATTGACTTGACTGAAAGACAATGCAAGTCATCATGATTGTTCGGTTACATGCCGTGTATCAGCGATCCAGAAAGGTGCTGATATTTCTCGTCGTCATCTTTCTAGCCATCAGAATTGCCAACGCAGTGATGACCGTAATAATAACGATGCAGAGTTCAGGGGGTAAGCTTTAATTATGTATGAAATGTTTAAGTGCATCAGGCTCATTGAAAAATACCAGAGGAATTCGTTCTCTCCGGCACCTATCAGTGCATGTTTGACTCCGGGGGAGATTTCGGATTTCTTGGTTCCATGACTTGGATACTTGACATTGTATGGGAGGTCGTTGCACTGTGTCTCGCGGTCTGGATTGCTGTAAAGCACTTCCGTGAGCTGCGCCAACACTCAAAAGGTATTATCGGTGACTGTTTCACTGTGTTAATGGAAACTCATGTGAGTTACTTTGCGAGGTGAGCTCATATGTGAATGCGGTTCTCTTCTTCCGCTGAAGTTTTACACGTGCTATTTTTTTGGCTATCTCTTGCTTCCAGATCGGTTTTATCTCTCCAACGCTCATAGCGGTATGTCAAGCTGTTACCAACTTCTACATGCATGCGATCTTCATTCATCATTTCTATAGGACTCAGATTCCCTAGGCCCTCAGATTTATGGTGGTTTCGCTCAGATATTCCAGTTTGTGGAATTGTTTGTGCTGGGACCACGCCTGATCCTCGGTATTCGAGAATACCACGCTGAGCTCATGGCCAACTCTGATACAGCAACCGCTATGTCTTCAATTGCTTTTCAGGAGCACGTCCATGTGTCAACTAGCAGTAGCGTGTAGTATGGAAGACATTCGATCAATATGATTTACAATCGGCGACTAGTCCATATGGAGCGGTTTTTGTTTTGATTTATTCCAAGTTATGTCCATCTTCGATCCAGTTTCAAAACTCACTTCATTCTTATGTACTGTGTGTTCTGAGAGTGGGTCTGGGCAATGTTATCGTTGTGGTACTTAATTAAGTTATTTGATGTTACAAATATATTTGAAAGAAACATAGCTCTGAATGATATCTCTACTGACGCTCGCTGCCTGCCCACGCTTGCACCGTGGCAAGTTGAAACGTCTGACGACTTTACTTGAAAACAGTCATTCCCTTTCAGTGTCGTGATGCTTATTCCTGACATACGGATTTATTAGCATAAGCACATTACACATTAGGCAACGTCAGGGGACCAAGTCCGTAGGTTCGAGGCAAAGTTATCAAACACCATCCCGTCGCAACTGCGTCATCATTGCGTCATCTCACCTCCAAGAACACATGACGAGCTGAAAGGGTTGTAGCAATGCCGGTCGTGATATTCCCGTCCTCATTCTCCTTTTCCTTCGGTGGGGAGGACTTGGATGGTACGATCGACTAGACTCGTGACCAGTCTGACGTACGTCCTTTGAGAATGGGAAAAAAAGATCATGTACGCTGAATATTTGAGTACTACTCTCATCGCGTGGAATTTGCACTTCTGGATTACAGGTCAAGGAGTTTGAGGAGTATGGGATTAATCGAGAAAGATGCGGTACTCTACGAACGAAAGTTTCTGTGCAATTGATAGTAAACTGTAAAGTCTATGTCACAGACTATGTGGCACTATTACTTCGACCGGCACAACCGGCACTTGCACATTTTCAAACTCCGTGCTTCGCCTGCCAAATCTCTCCGAGATCGACCAGCCTGGCTATGCCACTCGACTTGTCCGTGGTTATATAAGCCAGGCTGGTATCGAGCCTAACGATCGACAAGAAAATGATAGTTGAGTTCTGTCAAATTGCAGTTGAGAATTACTCGAGTGGCACAATGACGGAACCAAAGGCTTGAGCGCTTGAGCTCAGGCTTGAGCTTGAAGCTTCTGAAGCTTGAAGGAGGAAGAGCAGTCAGCGGTATCACTGCTGCCAAAGGCACTCCCTTCCGACATCACCATGACGCGTACTAAACTGCTCGAGACATTTGCAAGAGCTCAATTTCATGACAGTTGCAAATGCTGATTATAAGGAGAGCATTGCTCGGTAGGTCTTCCTTTCCCTACCACCCATAAGCTTGTCTTACTATTCATTTTCAAAACCTTTCTTGCACCGAGACGAGCTGCTAGCATACTTTTCACCAATTTGGAACATTCACTTGCTCCTTCGTCACCTAGCTTATCAACGCTTCCCAGAGCCATATTCGAAAGTTCACTGCATCCTCGAATTCTTGAACTCAACGTTTAGCACTCCTGTTTCAACATCTGTAACCGTCCTCTCTGAGCAGGTCATCCACTTTCACCCTCGCAAGCTCCTATGACGTGCACGTGGATGCGAAATGTGAGCCGTTCAAGACTTCTGACCTCCGCTCATAGCGTCCCATACGACCCATTCCGATTTGTACTACCTCCCACTTTCTTTGTACGACTACCCTCATCACCTCACACGTCGATCATATTCTATGTCAGGAAACTGGCCCACATAACACATGTATACTTGTGGTCGCATTTTGTCAGCGTGTACATGAATTAGAAGAACGGTTGTGGATTTTTGCTCCTGTTGTGATTAAGCGTCGAGTAAGTACAGTGAATTTCAAGTGAGAACATTGCTGACCTTGAGAGAAAACGTCTCGACTAGTACTTGGGCGCTGTTCAAACCTGTGTTAGATGTATGACCTTCTATTATAGTGTCATTAATATTGTTAGGCCGAACCCAGCAATACCAAGAACACCCCAAAGATCGTACTACATAGCACGTTGCCAAAATCACGAACAGTTCTCTTATCTATCTTTTGCGGTGTTCAAACATTCCGCCCGAGTCACTGCTTCGCGATTTCATGAAGAACTTTTACCTTGATCCCATCGGTATCCCTGGATGCACATTGTCTTTCTACTGCAATTGAGGCTGAAACACTTACTCCGATCAATCAAATATCATCTCTCAAATCTCACTTTGGTAATATAAGCGCTGGATTGTGGTATATCAAGCACGAATGCGATCGTTATACGTCCAACAAATCCCCCCGCTCACTCGCTCCATCCTCTAATAGTATGACCCTAGTCTCGAACGATCCCAGTTGGTGGCCAGCCATTAATGCGAGAGTTATTTTCAGCTATTTTGCAGGTTCGTGGAGAGTCAAGTGCATGATGACGGTGATAATTTGATTCACTTTGACTCCAATTTCGCAGTTGCCACCTCGGTTGGGCTAGTGTACGATTGGGGTGAGCAAGACCAAGTATAAAAGAACCACTGATATCCTTATGGTATTCTCAGCGCTTACGTTTGGACAAGAGGTACGTCAATCTCAATTACTGGGGGAGTCAACTCACTTAAAATTGTGTTATAGGTCGAACTGATCTGGGTGAGCGCACTCCCACATCGAAAGAACGGCGCGAAAATAAGACTTGTTCACGGCAGAGGCAACGCTGGTCCTTGATGACCTTTCTCTACCTCGGTGTATGTGCCTCGTGTTTCAATATTTACGCTTAGCAAGGCTGACTTTAAAATATCCTAGGTGCGTTATGTTGGAATAGGATATGCTGTGTACGTTTGGAAGTTTAAGCCATTGATGTTGCTCTCATCATCCATCTCTCGCAATCAGGATGTACATCCTGTGTATGTATCCTCGCATAGACTCTGTTTCTTTCTTGTGACGGGCGGCATATAGTTGGTGTTCCAACTATTTCGATGACAGATGCAGTGAGTATTCCACACTAATGCCCCATCCCTGTCGAAACACTGAACCACCATGCAGGGGTGAGTGATATTCTCGAATAACTCGTTGATTCAACATCACGACTCCTACAGTTGTGAGTCTGTTTAGACCCTGTGATCTTCCGAGGCTGATAACTAATGTTGCTGCATTTGTCAGGCCTTATCATATCCGACGGATTTGATTGGATGAGTGACGTTGTAAATGTAATACTGGGCGGTGAGCTATGCACCTCCGTGATCTTGACTTGACTGAAAGACAATGCAAGTCATCATGGTCGCTCGGTTACATGCCATGTATCAGCGATCAAGAAAGGTGCTGATATTTCTGGTCGTCATCTTTCTGGCCATCAGAATTGCCAACGCAGTGATGGCCGTAATAGTGACGATGCATCATTCAGGGGGTAGGCTTTAATTATGTATGAAATGTTTAAGTGCATCAGGCTGATTGAAAAATACCAGAGGAATACGTTCTCTCCGGCACCTATCAGTGCATGATTGACTACGGGGGAGATTCCGGATTTCTTGGTTCCATGACTTGGATACTTGACACTGTATGGGAGGTCGTTGCACTGTGTCTCGCGGTCTGGATTGCTGTAAAGCACTTCTGTGAACTGCGACAACACTCAACAAGAGGTATTATCGGTGACTGTTTCACGGTGCTAATGAAAACTCATGTAAGTTACTTTGCGAGGTGAGCTCAAAATGTGATTGTGGTTCTCTTGTTCCCCTGAAGTTTTCCACGTGCTAGTTTCTTGGCTCTCTCTTGCTTGCAGCTCGGATTGTTCTCTCCAACGCTCTCAGCGGTATGTCGAATTGTCACCGACTTCTACATGCATGCGACCATCATTCATCATTTCTATAGAACTCATATTCCCTGGGCGCTCAGATTTATGAAGGTTTCGCTCAGATATTCGAGATTATGGGATTGTTTGTGCTGGGACCACGCCTGATCCTCGGTGTTCGAGAATATCACGCTGAGCTCGTGACCAACTCCGATACGGCAACCGCTATGACTTCAATTGCTTTTGAGGAGCGCGTCCACGTGTCAACTAGCAGTAGTGTGTAGCGCAGGAAAAGCTCGATATGATTAATTTGCGACGAGGGGGTAGTGTGCAGGGAGCGGGAGAATTTGTTTTTATTTATTCTAGGTTTTGTCGTGGTACTTATTTATGTACGAGTCATATCTTGATAAAAGTTGAGCCCGCTGATGTGACTTGGGGCTCCCAGGGACAAATTGACAATGCAGTCATGGGGAAGCCTAGAATCGTAAATTCAAAAGCTTTGACTCAGTGTAAGTTCCGAGACTTTAAATCCAGAGAGCCCATGATAGAATCCGTCCGTTTCGGGATAGCGCTATGCCAGCTCTGGGTCATCGATATAAAGTACCTGGGTCCTTAATGGTGAGCGTGTGGTACGCACAGCCTGTAATAAAAATGACCCCACAGGTTCTCGAGAATCGGGTGACTTTGTACACATCAAGCCACTCTGCATAAGCACGCCCAAAGATACATGGTTTTATTCCATCATTAATTTTGATATAACACATATGTGGTGCATGGGAACGATGACTATGCTAACGCAGATGGGGTTCAGATGTTCGCACGGGGTCGGAAGGGTGAATATCCTGGGATCAAGGTGTCCTCGTTTCAATCATGATACATCCCCGGGGGGTACCAGGATTTGAGAAAAATATTCACCAGCGGAGCTGTTTTCAATCACTCTAGACCAAATTTGCCACTTCGCAATCTGCTGGCATTGTAGAGATTATGTGGTTGAATGCGACACAACCACGCAATAAAATCCAGGAGACCTTCGAAGCTCGGACATTTGAGGCTAGCAAGGATATACGTTTTTCCTAAAACCATAGAGCGCTATCCAGCATATAAAATCAAGGTGTTTCTGTCTTCCTACCAACCGTTCAGACTTATTTGATCCCATATCACATCCTCACACGCAATGCGTGTCTCCTTTGTAATCGTCCTCGCCGTCGCTGCATCATTAATCTCTGCCACGCCCATCGACGCTAGCGCCCAGAAATGTCCCTTCTTTTGCTGGATTGATATAAATTGCGAGGACTGCACTTGGGGGCTCTGCGTGAGCATCAGTCGTTTTCCTCGATTTGATAATATGACTCACCTGCATCACAGAAATTTCCATTCTGTACAGTGAGTTGCGTTTCTGCTTTCACATCGTATGGCCGTTGGCACCGACGCGCGAGTTATCAGTGATTTGCAGAGCCACTAATAAAACATTGGTGGAGCTAGCGTCGTTTTCGTTCGATTGTGAAATGTGAGATATGACGTGGAAGGATATCTATTACCGCGCAGATCAACGTCGGTGCCTGTTTCTCCTTTGTAGACGGACCTGAGCCTTCAGATCGTAGAATTGTAAGTATATGCGCACGATGGACGCAATAAAAACACACCTAGGCCTTGACTTTTGACTTTGATTGTTTCTCAAACAGCATTCGATAGGATTTGGATAGACCCACTCGAGGAGTGGAACTGGCTGCTTGATAAAGAATCAAGAGACGACCGTGGGGCGTCAGAGTCGGTGCTTGTGCGGGGAAGGTTCATGGGTGTTTCGGGGACTGCTGGCGAGATGGGGTGAATGTTTTTGGGTTAGTACGAAGGGAGGCTGGGAATAGATGGATTCTTCTCCCCGACGCGCACTCGATCTCAGTAGTGCTGTCAAGATCGTAGCGGCTGGTGAAAGTCTGTTCGTTCCTGATGTCATCGCTGACTGTTTCCAGGACCCCGGAGAAGTACTCGACCACTCAAGTGGCGCCTGTAGACCCATTCAGCAACCCTGTTCATCCTAGCTGCTCCAGAGTTACGCACTGAGTACCTCTGGCAGGACTTTGGCTCATTGATGAGGCTGCTTCATTGACCCCAAGCGGACTCGGTGCTGCAGTACCATCGACCACATTCGAATTGGGATGACGAGGGCAAATAGTGAGAAATGTGCGGGCGCAGACGGTTGTGCTCACAGAGCAGGTCCCGAGTATTGGAGTACTTTAGACAGAGGAGCAAACGGTGTTGGTGTCGGTATATACGAGAACACGCCGAACTGGGGCTTGTCAGGATTGTAGAGGATGAATTGGTGTAGGCACTAGGGGGCGGTGTGTTGGGTAGGCTGGGATTAGTGAGGATCGGATGAAAAAGTATATATTATTTTGTGCATCACTCGACATGTCTAATGTGCCTTATGCAATCCTCATTGCTACTAGCCTACTGGCCATCTCTGGCCGATGCTCCGCGCATCACTTGGCATGTCAAATATGCCTTATCGTAACGGCGCTCGGCCGCGCCAGACTGTCCCCGACACATTTGTATTTAGATAGTGTGCAAATTTCGACCGTGAAATGTCAAACCAAATATGCATCGCGAACATTCCAGTTAATGGGCTGTTTGGCCGCCAGTTATCTGGACAATGTATACTGTGGCCAGCAGGGTCTCTGGTACCTCCTACATTCGTTCATCGATGAACAGTGCTGTAAGTGAGGAGGAAATCACAATGAACATCCAGATCCAGAACTGACAGGCAGAGACATGTAAGATATAAACGCGCAGCCGTCAATGACCAACAGATCACCATCGGCATGATTATCGGCCACCGGAACAAATTTTCCACGCATGAAATGACAGACAGCATGACATTTATTTTCTACAGAACCCTCTCCCCACTAAAGTGGGTGTTGGGGATGCAGTCCTCATTGTCACCTCCTTTAGTGGAGTAAACGGCCTATGTCTAGCGAGACTGAGTGAAGCGGAGTTCCTCACCTCTTCTCACTCGAATTACTTGTCTCGCTAGGTACGCTGTTCAATCTTGAGTTCCGTTTCTCTTCTCACTCGAATTACTTATCTCGCTAGTGTAATTTTGCGCACCCACCCATTTTTACACCCTCCCAGTGTTGTATAGCGTTGTATTTTTAGGTACGGGCTCGAGTTCGGGACTGTTTGTTCCTGAATCCATTGGGGGCCCCTTGTTCTCGCAACGGGGTCCTCGTTTTGCTAGGTAAATCCTCGTCGTCTGTGTTCCAACAATACTTGAGTGAGGACAATTAGACCTAGGAAATAACCTGCCCTGACGTCACCATATGGTGCAAGACAAGACTCCGAGTTAGTGTTGTGGGCAGAAGTCTGCCATTCTGCCAGCCGGTTTAACAAAACCGGTTCTGCCCGGGTAGGGAACTGCACGGGTATACCTCCGGGTATCAGAGGCCATACCCGCACCCGTACCCGGCGAAAACCCGCACCCGCTCTGACAGGTACGGGTTTTTGGCGGGTACGACGAGCTCTGACCCGTACCCGCACTCGTGCGGGGTTTACCCGCGGGTATCATATACAAATAATAAATTTATTAGACACCGAAACAATAAAAAAATGCACCTACATTACCAGTTACAAGTGCAGACGAACGCGAACGCGAACGAGCGAGAACGAGCGTAAACGAGCACGAACAAGTGCGAACAAGCGGGAACGAGAGTCGAGGGAAGGGCAAAAGTGAGGAGAGGAGTGTCGTGGAGTGTCGTGGCATCTATGGAAATGAGGCTGGTTGATGCAGTGAAGCAGCATAAAACGCACAATACACGCACCACTGCAGCTTAGAGCAACTCCCATAATCCCTCCAAAGTCCACCTCGATCGCGCCCAATGCTATCAAGTTTCAACCTCCGGTAAAATGTCGAAGCTCATTCCAATCACTGCACTCCTGCGAGAGTTCAAAGGTCGTGAAGGCTGGTAATGGCAGTCGCAGTTCTCTCCGGTAAGCGGCGAGTGGTTACAGCCTCGGACGACAAGACGCTTCGTCTGTAGGACTTGGAGACAGGTTTTGTGTTGAAGAAGATGGAAGGGTAACGCTGAGGTGTGGAGATTGGCAGTATCACGAGATGGGCAATTGGTAGCAAGCGGTGATGCTGACGGAGAGGTCATCGTCTGGCACGGAGAAACTGGAGAATCATTCACCCAACCCATTAAAGTCCATTCTAACAGGATCGACTCACCGGATTTTTCTCCCAATGGAACAGCGCTGGCCAGCGCCGTTTTCAATAAACGACGGATGGTTATGGACTCGAATGACAAGACACTTTTTCTGTGGGACTTGAAGATAGGTGTTGTGTTGAAGAAGATAGAGGGACATTTCTGTGAGGTGTAGGCATTGGCGGTATCACGAGATACGGGTATTGCAATGTGCAGTACCCTAGTTCTGCCTGGCAGATGGCAGAACTCCGCTGGCAGAATCCGGCAGAATGTCAAACTACAGGGGATCACAGCGAAAGATATTCTAATAACTTTCTTCACCAGCAACTGCACTTCCTTACCTGTATAGTAGAATCCTTTAAAGGCACTTGCAATCACCCTATTGTTCCCCATGCTGCCCACGTACGTTGGAGTAGGGGACCCGGGGGGCGAGTAGCAGCCACTGGCAGCACTGTAACTTAGTCAGCCACTCGGCTTTGTTGTAGCATTGCATATTACATAAGGCCCTTCACCACTTCTTGCCTTGCTCGTGACATGCAGGCACACAGTCATGGATACACCTCTCCACTATCAATGTCGAACGCCTCTTCTCAGATCTCTGTAGCTCTGCAGCACTGCAACCTCACAATAGACACGATTCAAAAGCACTAGAAAAGATTTGAGCGCCCAGCCAGGCATTAACTGGATGATGGAAACGAACCTCATACGACGACCATCGGATGGTGGGATGTGGACATGCTGATGAGTCTTCTAATGGTGATATACTGTCGCACAGCATTGATAGTTTGCCAAATGACAGAATGCCAATTATGCCGGTTGTGCCGGCATAATTGCCTGCTGCCCCCAGCACTACTCCCAGTCGATTTGTATCATCCCTCAAATTTCAAATCTCAAATCTCACTTTGGTAATCTAAGCGCTGGATTATGGTATATCAGGGACGAATACAATCGTTATACGTCCACCAAATCCCCCCGCTCACTCGCTCCATCCTCTAATAGTATGACCCTAGTCTCGAATGATCCCAGTTGGTGGCCAGTCATCAATGGGAACATTATTTTCAGCTATCTTATAGGTTCGTGGAGAATCCGCCGCATGATGACGGTGATGATTCGAATCACCTTGACTCCAATTTCGCAGTTACCGCCTCTACTGGGTTAATATACGATTGGGGTGAGCAAGACTACGCATAAAAGGACCACTGATATCCTTATGGTATTCTTAGCGCTTACATTTGGACAAGAGGTACGTCGGTCCATTACTGGGGCATCCAACTCGCTTAGAATTGTGTTGTAGGTTGAACTGATCTGGGTGAGCGGACTCCCACATCGAAAGAACGACGTGAAAATACAACTTGTTCGCTGCAGAGGCAGCGCTGGTCCCTAATGACCTTTCTCTACCTCAGTGTATGTACCTTGTGTTTCAATATTTACGCTTAGCAAGGCTGACTTCAAAATATCCTAGGTGCGCTATGTTGGAATAGGACGTGTTGTGTACGTTTGGAAGTTTAAGCCAGTGATGTTGCGCTCATCACCCATCTCTCACAATCAGGATGCTCATGTTGAGTATGTCTCCTCGCATAGACTCTGTTTCTTTCTTGTGACGGGCGACATATAGCTAGTGTTCCAACTATGTCGATGACAGATACAGTGAATATTCCACACTGATGCCTTCCATGCCTGTCCTGTTGAAATACTGAACTACCATGCAGGGGTGAGTGAGATTTTCGAACAACTCGTCGATTCAACATAACGACACCCACAGTTGTGAGTCTGTTTAGACCCTGTGATCTTCCAAAGCTGATAACTAATGTTGCTGCATTTGTCAGGCCTTATCATAAACGACGGATTCACTTGGATGGGTGACGCTGTAAATGTATTACTGGGCGGTGAGCTATGCACCTCCGTGACATTTACTTGACTGAAATACTATACAAGTGATCATGATCGCTCGGTTACATGCCATGTATCAGCGATCAAGAAAGGTGCTGATGTTTCTCGTCGTCATCTTTCTGGCCATCAGAATCGCCAACGCAGGAATGCTCGCAATAACGATGATGCAGATTTCAGGGGGTAAGCTTTAATTATGTATGAAATTTCAAGTGGATCAGGTTCATTGATAAATACCAGAGGAATTTGTTCTCTCCGGCACCTATCAGTGCATGTTTGACTACGCGGGAGATTCCGTATTTCTTACTTTCATGGCTTGGATGCTTGACACTGTATGGGAGGTCCTTGCACTTTGTCTCGCGATCTGGATTGCTGTAAAGCACTTCCGTGAACTGCGACAACACTCAACAAGAGGTATTATCGGTGACTGTTTCATGGTGCTAATGAAGAGTCATGTGATTTACTTTGTGAGGTGAGCTCATAATGTGAATGCGGTTGTCTTGTTTCCCTGAAATTTTGCACATGCTAGTTTTTTGGCTATCTCTTGCTTCCAGATCGGTTTGTTTTCTCCAACGGTCTTAGCGGTATGTCAAGCTGTCACCGACTTCTACATGCATAGGACCATCATTCATCCTTCCTGTAGGACTCATATTCCCTGGACGCTTCAACTTATTATGGTTTCGCTCAGATATTCGAGTTTGTGGGATTATTTGTGCTGGGACCACGCCTGATCCTCGGTGTTCGAGAACATTACGCTGAGCTCGTGGCCAACTCTGATATGGCAACCGCTATGACTTCAATTGCTTTTCAGGAGTACGTCCATGTGTCAACTAGCAGTAGTGTGTAGCGCAGGAGATGCTCGATATGATTGATTTGCGATGGGGAGGGGGGGCAGTGTGCAGGGAACGGGAGAAATTATTTTTCTTTACTCCAGGTTTTTGTCGTGGTACTTATTTATGTGAGTTGCGAAGTAGATTTAGGTCATACAAGAGCTTTTGGTGTATTATTACTAGTAGTGATTTCTCCCCGACGCTCAGGTTCACGCGTGCTGTCAAGATCGAAGTCTGTTCGTTCCTGATGCCATCGCTGAAAGATGGCTGTTTCCAGGACCTCTGAGAAGTACTCGACCACTCAAGTGGTGCCTGTAGACTCATTCGGCATCCCCGTTCATCCTAGCTGTTCCAGGATTACGCACTGAGTCCCGCTAGCAGGACTTTGGCTCATTAATCTGGCTACTTCATTGAGACCAAGCGGACCTCGTGCTGCAGTACTATCGACCACATTCGAATTGGGATGACGAGGGCAAATAGCGAGAAACGTGAGGGCGCAGACGGTTGTGCTTACGGAGCAGGTCCTCGGTAGGCTGAAATTAATGCGAGTGAGGTGATGAGCAGATGGGATAAAAAAATATGAGCAACACACCTGAAGCCGAGTGTGGTAAGGAGACCCGAAACGCAACGAGTACTCAGTACTCAGTGACTAATGACTCCTTGGACCATAGGTACTATGGGCATGGCACGATAAAAACCGATAGGAATCGAAATGAGTGATTAGAGGTGCAGCCAATCACGGAAGAAGGGCAGACTCGACGTGCCCGGGCTTCCTTCTGGCCAGGTGAAATGCAGCTAGCTTGAGTCTATGACGAGGGCAAATAGCGAGAAACGTGCGGGCACAGACGGTTGTGCTTATGGAGCAGGTCCCGAGTATTGGAGTACTTTAGATAGAGGAGCAAACGATGTTGGTGTTAGTATATACGAGAGCACGCCGAACTGCAGGTATTGGGACTTGTCGGGATTGCAGAGGAGGAATTGATATAGACACTAGGAGGCGACGTGTTGGGTAGGCTGAGATTTCGAGTGAGGTGATGAGCAAATGGGATGAAAAAGTATTAGCAACGCACCTGAGGCCGAGTCTCGTAACGAGACACGAGTCACCCGAGTCACCAATGAGACTCAGTCACTGAGTGACTTTCTTGCACCATAGCTATAGGAAATAACCCTGCCCTGACGACATCATATGGTGCAAGACTAGACTCCGACTAAATCTCTGCACGATTTTCTGAGCTGGCAGCACACCTCAGTGGACCACAGAGCTTATCCCTCGCTTTGGGTAACTTGCCCATGATGCAAGAGTCTTCAGAATGGAAGTTCGTCCTGTGAATGGCAACATGTCCCCGTTTAGACGAATGCGCTTTCTCCGAGTCAGAGTGGAGTCCCACAATCTGGAATTTCTCTTGCTGTACTCGAAGACACGCTCGATCGGTACTTTGGAAATACTCTGGTGCGTTGTGGTGATAATAAAAATTGAAATACTTCACTTGTAGTCCACCTGCTTCGGATAGTCCTCTAGCCACCAATAGTACATAAGGATCTGACTAGCGGGCAGTGGGGGTGAACACTTGCCTAAGGCTTCCTCTAGCTCGTCGAATAACGACAGCGAGTTTTCGACGGCGAGGGTATAAACTGCTGCAACAACCGTCTCCCTTGTCCGTGTCCTTGCCGAAGGTGCCGGTGAAACCCGAGGCAAAGGAGACGGAGGAACCGAAGAAGACGACAACAACAAAGCCAAAGCCCATCCGCTGCAAGTTGTCACGTTGTGCAACCCTCCCGTAACTGCATCTCCGAGTAAGTCTGCTATACCTCTGCTCGCTACCCAGACTGTAGACACGTCTACGCACACTTCGCCGTGCTGCACGTTTGGGAGTTTGAGGGCTGCGAGTGCTGTTTTGCCTGGCGAGATTGGGATGGTTGCGCTTGGCGCCATTATGCGTGATAATGCACGCTACACTCCCTCGTTCTCCTCTTTGAGCGGCCACTGTCACTCTCGCTCGTGCCATGAAACACGCAGTTCACACTCCCTATTTTTCGGTTTCCTGATCTCATCAATATCAGTCTCTGCATCTCTTTCAGCGGGTTTTTTTTTTACAGATGGAGGAAATTTTCTCTCCCCCTATTGGCTATTCGCTCCTCGAGCTCGTCGACGATCTTTGATATATTCATTCACCAGTGCATCCATCCCATCCCGTCATTACTTCTGAACCACAGAAACTGGAGTCATCACACATCTATTAACTTCGCATTGAAGCATGTACCATCACTGCCCTTCATCATCGTTTTCGTTCCTATTGCCTCCGTTCCTGTCCACATCACTGGATCGTCTTTCTTGTACAACCTCCTACTCTCATTGTACGACTTCCATCGTTGCTACACGTCGATTGTGTTTTACGACAGGGGATTGGATACGACGCACGTATGTACTTTTCGGTCGCATTTGTACTAATCAGGGTGTAAATGAAATAGAATGCTGTGGATTCTGCTCGTGTTGAACTTAATTGATAGTTATAGACAACGTCTGTCGCGAGGTCGACTTGGGCACCATGCAAACCTGTGTTGGGTCAATGAACGACATGGTGTTAATGATGGGTCGAGGCTGAACGTTGCATCCCACACTGGAAACTGTAGCAAGTATACTTCGAAGATCACACAGGCACAGGGCGAAACCATCTGCGGCGTCAAACATTCTTCGCGAGTCACTGCGTGGCGATCTCACTAACCACTTTTACCTTGATCCCATCGGTATCCCTAGATGCATATTGTCTTTCTACTGGGAATCAGGCTGAAACACTTACTCCGATCAATCAGATATCACCCCTCAAATCTCACTTTGGCGATGTAAGTGCTGGATTGTCGTATATCAAGCACGAATGCGATCGTTTTACGTCCACCAAATTCCCCCGTTCACTCGCTCCATCCTCTAATAGTATGACCCTAGTCTCGAACGATCCCAGTTCGTGGCCGCTCATCATTACGAATGTTATTTTCAGCTATTTTACAGGTTCGTGGAGAGTCAACCGGTCATGACTTGATTCACCTTGACTCCAATTTCGCAGTCGCCGCCTCTGTTGGGTTAATGTATGATTGGGGTGAGCAAAACTGAGTATAAAAGAACCACTGATATCCTTACAGTATTCTCAGCGCTTACGTTTGGACAAGAGGTACGTCGAATCCCGATTACTGGGGAGCCAACTTGCTTAGAATTGTGTTATAGGTTGAACTGATCTGGGTGAGCGGACTCCCACATCGAGAACGATGTGAAAATTAAAACTTGTTCACGGCAGAGGCAACGCTGGTCCTTGATGACCTTTCTCTACCTCGGTGTATGTGTCTTGTGTTTCAATATTTACGCTTAGCAAGTCCAAGTCTTGCTGACTTCAAAATATCCTAGGTGCGCTATGCTGGAATGGGATATGCTGTGTACGTTTGGAAGTTGAAGCCATTGATGTTGCTCTCATCATCCATCTCTCACAATCAGGATGAACATTTTAAGTATGTCTCCTCGCATAGACTTTGTTTCTTTCTTGTGACGGGCGGCATATAGTTAATGTTCCAACTATTTCGATGACAGATGCAGTGAGTATTCCACACTGATACCTTCCATTCCTGTCGAAACACTGAACTGCGATGCAGGGGTGAGTGAGATTCTCAAATAACTCGTTGATTCAACATAACGACTCCCACAGTTGTGAGTCTGTTTAGACCCTGTGATCTTCCGAAGCTGATAACTAATGTTGCTGCATTTGTCAGGCCTTATCATATACGATGGACTTAACTGGATGGATGACGTTGTAAATGTAATACTGGGCGGTGAGCTATACACCTCCGTGACATTGACTTGACTGAAAGACCATGCAAGTCATCATGATCGCTCGGTTACATGCCATGTATCAGCAATCCAGAAAGGTACTGATATTTCTGGTCGTCATCTTTCTGGCCATCAGAATTGCCAACGCAGTGATGACTGTAATAATGACGATGCAGCGTTCAGGAGGTAAGCTTTAATTATGTAAGAAATTTCAAGTGCATCAGGCTCATTGAAAAATACCAGAGGAATTACGTTCTCTCCGGCACCTATTAGTGCATGTTTGACTCCGGGGGAGATTCCATATTTCTTGGTCCCATGTCTTGGATACTTGACACTGTATGGGAGGTCCTTGCACTGTGTCTCGCAGTCTGGATTGCTGTAAAGCACTTCCGTGAACTGCGACAACACTCAACAAGAGGTATTATTGGTGACTGTTTCACGGTACTAATGAAAACTCATGTGAGTTACTTTGCGAGGTGAGCTCATAATGTGAATGCGGTTCTCTTCTTCCCCTTAAGCTTCGCTCGTGCTAGTTTTTTGGCAATCTCTTGCTTCGAGATCGGTTTCATCTCTCCAACGTTCATAGCGGTATGTCGAGCCGTCACTGACATCTACATGCATGCGACTATCATTCATCATTCCTATAGGACTCATATTCCCTGAGCGCTCAGATTTATTCTGGTTTCGTTGAGATATTCCAGCTTGTGGGATTGTTTGTGGTAGGACCACGCCTGATCCTTGGTGTTCGAGAATATCACGCTGAGCTCGTGGCCAACTCTGATACGGCAAGCGCTATGGCTTCAATTGCTTTTGAGGAGCGCGTCCATGTGTCAACTAGCAGTAGTGTGTAGTGCAGGAGATGCTCGATATGATTGATTTGCGATGGGGAAGGGGAGCAGTGTGCAGGGAACGGCAGAAATTATTTTTCTTCATTCAAGGTTTTTTTCGTGGTACTTATTTATGCGAGTTGCGAAGTAGATTTAGGTCATACAAGAGCTTTTGGTGGATAATTACTAGTAGAGATTTCTCCCCGACGCTCAGGTTCACGCGTGCTGTCAAGATCGAAGTCTGTTCGTTCCTGATGCCCACGCTGAAAGATGGCTGTTTCCAGGACCTCTGAGAAGTACTCGACCACTCAAGTGGTGCCTGTAGACTCATTCGGCATCCCCGTTCATCCTAGCTGTTCCAGGGTTGCGCACTGAGTAACTCTAGCAGAACATTGGCTCATTAATCAGGCTACTTCATTGAGCCCAAGCGGACTTTGTGCTGCAGTAGCATCGACCACATTCGAATTGGGATGATAAGAGCAAATAGCCCGCAGACGGTTGTGCTTACTGAGCAGGTTAATAGACTCAATTTGAAGTCCAACAAGGACTTACTAGGAAATGATAACCCTGCCCTCACGTTATCATATGGTGGAGCTGCGCAATGGTACTAGCTTTGGTTACACCACAGAACTTATCCCTCGATTTGAGTAACTTGCCCATGAGTCTTCAGAATGGAAGTTCGTTCTATGAATGGCAACAATCAATGCTATGTCAAACCCCGTTTAGATGAATGCGTGGAGCCCCGCAGTCTGGTTAACTGAGTAATATCTCTTGATGTACTCAAAGACACGTTCGATCAGTACTTTGGAAATACTCTGGCGATGATAATACAAATTGAAATACTTCGTCACTTGTAGCCCACCCGCTTCTGATAGTCTTATCTCCCAGCCACTAATACTGCTCGATATCTGACTTCTCCTTTGTCGAGTTTATCCATAGCTTCTTCAATTCCCTCGACCGTCAATGGGAACTCTTCAGTGATGGGTTTGATGTGGTGGATAGCCGCAAATGTTAGCATCTTAACGTGGACACCACGCGATGCACAAAAGCTTCCCTGAATCGTCAACCCCTTTGACAAAAGAGGTAAATAGGGAATGGTCAAATTCCCCTCAGAAAAAGTGGTAGGATATACAGTGGCATTTGGCGCCAGAACCGGGATGAAGCTATGAATCAGTCATCAGTCGATCAAAAAAATAAACACCTCGAGATAAAACTCACAGATTCCAGTCAGGGACCCGCGAAGACGTAACAAATAGGTGCTTAATCGGTTTCCCGATTTCCAGTTTACTCGCACCTCTCGTGACGTAAAACTCTCTTGCACCTAAACTCTTCGCCTCTTCCTTCTTACCTCCGCTTCCAGAGAAAACTACAACCTCGCACCCCATTTTCGCTGCAAATTGGATGGCAATGTGACCAAGACCACCGACGCCTACAATTCCCACTCGGTCTGCAGGTCGGACATTATACGAGTACATCGAGTTGAACATCGTTGCTCCGGCACACATCAATGGGGCCGCGTCAGAGGAGGTGATAGCATCGGGAATATGGAAGATGAAAGCTGCCTTCCACACCGCATAGGAAGCGAATGCACCTTGGTCGGTGTTTGAATGTGCGTACATGGCCCTCTCGGGGCAGAACATCTCGTTTGCGTTGAGGCATTCATCACAGTGCCCACACGAATTGTGGAGGAATCCCCAGCCAGCACGATCGCCACTGTTAAATCACGACGGTCAGCTACACAACAACACAAACAAGAAACGGGTGTACACTTTGAATGAGGTAACTTGCGACCCGACCTGCTGCACGACGCCAACGCCTTCATGGCCAAGGACCATGTCCAATGTCTTGTGATGCTGGTCCGTACCGCACACGCCAGCATGGGTGATTTTGAGTAGCACCTCGTCTGGTTTGATGCTTTCTTTGTGAGTTTTTGACTCAACTATATTTCCATTGGGGGAACCTTTGAAGACGGTGAAGTCAATTCCAGTCATGTTCGTCGTTGTCCGTTGGGAAATGGATGTCAGGCGCAATTCGAGCAGATAGTTGATTGAAGGCCAGGCCTTTTATATCAAGCGGAGTGATGGGAAGCTTTACCAACATGGGAGCTGAAAGAAGCATTTAGATTTGTTATCCGGATCCTGTGCGGGTGAGGCTTAGATCATATCTTGCGAATGCACGCTGAACGCAGGGATGTACGAGAGATATCAACGTTCATATGCCTTATAGAGCCAACTTGTGGCACCTGATATGATCGCTAGAAGCGCCATGACATATCGACAAGCCTGCGCTTTGTCCTACTATGTATAATCCCTGGCGCCTCTGTGAAACTGGACAAGGGGCAAGGGTATCGCTTTTAACATGACCGGCCACGTGTCATATATTCATAGAAGGAGCGCTTGTTGTTTCTTCCTGATTTAGCGCTCAGAGCTCAGAAGTTCAAGACATGTCCAAAAGCTGAAACTGCTCATCTGTTGGCGCCTGATTTCACGAATTCAGTGTGGCGCGATAAGAACACTGCGGCTCAGGCATTCATATTCATCGGCCGACTGACGCAGTGCTCGAGGAGAGTTATCGCGGCCCGTGTCTGATTGAGATCATTCTCAGCCATGCGTGTCAATTTTCTAATAACACAGAGAAGAGTTCAATTGCTTCATATATTCTTCTGCTAAATTCGTGTGCTGACATAATTACCCAACGCTGTTTGACGGCCTCTGAGCTTGGGGTGTGAATCGCGCGACTTATTTTAACACTCTCGCAAAAGTGAAGGTCTTTCAATATTGTCAAAAAAGATCAATAGGAGCGTCATCATGTGGTATATATAGGAGAATCATTCAAGCCAGGAAACTAATTATACTTCGATTGTTCCAACGCCAACGCCGCAAAAGCCCACTCCCCTCAAGTTCCAGCGGCATTCTGTATCCTGAGCGCTTCCAGACTGGTCGAATGCTCGGCTCATCACCGTGATCTTCGTTTTCGGGAGCCCATTCCTCTGTCCGTGGCTAGCCCACTCAAGAGCATCGACATCGATGTCTACTACGAGTTCGCCTTCCCACAGTGACCAACTCCAGCTGCCCTCTTGGTACGTGATTCGTACTTCGTGCCATGTCTCACCGTCATCCGCGCTGATTTCCACACGCGAGATAGGGCAGTGGGAGTAGGCGTAACCTGTGACTTTAAGAGTCTTCTGGTCAGGACAGGCAAGTGTCAGACACTGGATGTGGGCGACGACCGAGTTGCAATTAAGCCGTTGCATTGAAGGTGTACGACCCCACCAATTCTCCTGGATAGCCTTCTCTGGAGAGGAAACCTATTTGTAGCAAAGATGTTGGACGTAAGCGTACATCACGATTAGATATGGACGACATACACATTCAGGCAACATCTTGTAATCACGCTGCTGATAGAAATTGGGCGATTCGTTCCTTGAAATAGTGATACGATCTACCCATTTAACCCATCGCATGCCAAAATAGCCAGGCACGACGACGCGCAAAGGGAATCCATGATCTGGCGTGAGGGGTGCATCATTCATCTAGGGAAACGTGAATATACGCCCACTTCTTAAACCAATAATCTGACCTCGTATGCAAGCATAGCAGCACCGTCCTTGGCCATGACCTCCTCGAGCGGAATAGACCCTCCATAAGATGTGTCATCCTGGCACGGCGCAACGTTCGAAGCGAAGCAGACATGGAAACCTTTTTGAGCGTCTTCCTGTTCGGGGATTCCTGCGCTGATCAATATGTCACGCAGGAGTACACCGCCCCAGCGCGCATTCGCAATGGTACCCTCGGACCACTTGATGCCTCGCACCTCCTTCCCGGTCTTTTCTTGCATCTTGGCACGGCGGTTGCCAGCGCACTAGATTGGGTGGTGGGTATGTTTATATTCATTCTTGGGATGCTAGAGATGACGTACGATGAGAGCAGCCACGGCTACTGTTCTTGGAAAGGATGCGATCATGTCCTTGACGTTTAGTACCTTCTCTTCCATCCCCTCCATCTCGCCGTCTATCTTGACCGTATAACTGTCGAATTCAGATGCTAGATCCTTTATCACAGCTGTAGATGCCACAAATCAGTATTGTCCGTGATCAAGCCAAGCATTGGAGAATGAAAATCAGACGGGTTGGAATATCCAGGCACGACATCAGGTTTGATCGCAGATCATAGGATTGAGAACCAGAGTCATGTGCATTATGAGAGACAGTAGTATAGTTTGGAAGAAACGTACAATGGTTACGGGCATATGCCAGGTGCAGGGGTGTAATCGTGTGCTTTGTGAGCTCTACGAGGCATGGTGGTTCGGCAGTTGAGAGGTGTCTGGCCGAGCACCCGCAAACTAGTCTTGCCCATGTTGTTATTGTCTAGGATATTGACAATGGAATGCTAGAGACAACAAAGTATGGTGTTAGTGCAATCCAACACATCGAGTTGGCCAGTAGTTACCGAGGTAAGAAGTATACGCTCGCTGAAGGAGAAATCAAACAGTGAGGCTTGGAGACTCGGTGCAGGAAAATGGGCTGATTTTATAGAAATACGCCAACTTAGATCCGCACATGGATGGAGCTCGAGAGCTCAAGCGCTCAAGCTTCTTCAAGCCCTAAGACCTGTGTACGATATCTGTAGATTGATCTATAATAAATTTAACTCGTAATAAAAGCTTCGTTTGCAAGTTCCGAGAGCATCACGTGCAAGCTCGGGGATAACTTTAACACGACAAGATCGAGCGAATCGCTTCAAATTACATGATGATGTTCACTAAATGTCAGTGGACTGCGTCCTGTGTGTACTTCTAGACATAACTAGTCTATTCGTCTGTTTCCCCAGCTACGATAACATCGTCTGTAGGAACAATTAGCATCTTGTCGAGAAGAGACATCGTTGACTTGCCTATTTTCAGGACTGCTCGAACCAACTGCAATCGAGAAAACACATTGAGACATCGTGCATCAAAATGATAAGTAAAAGGATCGTACCTGAGTGGCGAGTAGATATTGTTGTCGCTTTGAGATCAGGGGGTCATAAACGAACTGCTTCTTCATGTCTAGAAATCGGAACTTGTTTCAAGTGTTTCAAGCATGCAACGTGGTATCACGCACCATTCTCTCCCCTTCCAGAACAGTCGATTCCAAGTCTAGAGTTCTTCTCTGTGACCTGTCGACTCTTGACTTCTGTCAATGTCTCGATTGGTGAGAGACCACTGTTCTCAGCAAGTGCAAGGGGGAATTGCGTCGAGAGCAGCTGCAAATGAGCGCATCGCATATTGCTCAATGGATGCAATCTCATCGGCAGCTTTCGAGACGGCGATGGAACAACTGATATCGGCAGCGCCACCCCCGTAGACCACGCGGTTGTCCACGACAAGATTGCGGACTGCGCAGATAGCATCGTGTAGGGCACGTTTTGCCTCATCGACGATCTACGTGCCTTGATGTCAGATGATGTGGAGTGAGGGTGAACAGAAGGCAGACCATTTTATTGCTTCCGCGCACAAAGATTGTGACGGCGCGGGAGTTGGCACACTCTTCAATAACGAGCATCTTGTCGCGGGTCGTGCCGAACGTGACCTCCCGCACGATACCTGCCTTCCCGAGTTTTTGCGCTGTAAGATCCTCGAATCGGGGGACGATTCGACCTTGTGTCGCTATGGCAATCAGCTAAGCACAGAACATCAATGATGCTTTCACGGTAGGGAGAATTTGTGAAATTTACCTCAATTTCTGGTCCACCAACCCATCGAACGGCAGGCAGCTCGTTCTGCATCAATAAGTGATTTGCTTCATCATCAAAACCCCACTGGCAAATGACCAAATTTGCTCCCGTGTCCTTCACCATCTTGATCATGTCCTCGAACTTCTCCTTTTCATAATCTCGGAGGTGCTTAAACTCCTCTACAGATGTGATTTCGAGCTTATGCTTAGTCTTGGGTCGTGGAGGCTCAAAGGGACAGGTGAGAATCGCGAGGCGCGCATCGCGCACGCAAGATGGCATTTGTGAGTGGGACATATCCTTGTCGATGAGAACGCCCTTGATGAGCGTCGTGTCAGCAAGGGAGCCGCCAACTTTGCCGTCAACCTTGATGAGGTCAAAGGGAACATCACGACGTTCAAGGTCCGCAACTTGTAGAACAGCATCGACCGCGATCTGAGCGAACTGCTGCAACTCCTTTGACACACTAAGCCAAAATCAAAGTATATTCAAGGAAAGAAAGAAAGGACTGGCGCACATTTTGCTGCCTAGACTGGTCATCGCGGTCTTGAGAAGATTTTCTTTGTTCTCAGGTGAGAACTCGACACGATCTGAGATGCTGTCGAGTTTCTCGCAGGCAACAGTACAGGCCCGGTCAAAACCATCTGCTATACGGATGGGGTGAATACCACGGTCTAGTAGGTCTTCGCTCTGCTCCAAAAGTGCACCAGCCAGTACTTCAAATGGATTTCAATAAGAGGCAAGAGATGGGCACAAGTTAAGATCTTACCGACAACACCAGTGGTACCGTCTCCGATCTCATCGTCCTGGCTTTTGGACAGTTGCACGAGGAGCTTTGCAATTTGATGCTCAACTTCCATCTGCCCCAAAATGGTTGCACCGTCATTCGTCACAGTGATCTCGCCGTCAGGCGATATAAGGATTTTATCCAACCCTGCGTGATTGATCAATCAAACTCCTGTAATGCAGTGGCTTAATGGAGCTCACCTCGAGGTCCTAGAGAGGTCCGGATTATGTTTGCCACTGTCCGTGCCGCAAGAATGTGCGACTTGAATATATTTCGTGAACTCAGCACTGTTGATCGGCAAGAAAATCGCTTACCTTGATTGCCTCTACACCATGAGTTCTTGTTTTTCTTCCCTGCTCCCTCAGGATGATGAACGGTCGGCCATACTGGAATAATTGAGCACGATGTATAAGATGATTTGGTTATGCGATTTACCTCGTCAGTTGCGTATACAGCGTCTTGTTGAGCCATGATTTTGTTGCTGAACGCGTCGCGTTTTGGAGGCTGAACGTGACACGATAATTGCGTGACACAGCCCTGATAGTGCGTGATGCTGTGACATGGGGTTTAGAGGAAATTACAAGGACGCCCTCCATACTCTTCTTCTGTCATAAACTTCCAGCACAATCCAAACTTATCATGGAGCACGAGATCGATGGCTGGATTGAACAACTCAGTCAATGTAAACAACTAACAGAAGCGGACGTAAAGAAATTGTGCGACAAGGTTCGTTGGCCCCGATAAAGACGCCACCTGGGCTCGATCTGACTGCGGTCTTAACAGACGAGAGAGATCCTTATGGAGGAGTCAATGTACAGCCAGTGCGATGCCCAGTAACTGTGTGCGGTGACATCCACGGTCAATTTGTGCGTTCCTGTTTATTGTTGTAATTTGGACTGCTGATCTTGTCCCGTGCGCGTCTCGTGCTCGTTTGCTCGACGCGCAGCATGATCTTTCTGAGCTATTCCGCATCGGTGGAAACTCACCAGATACCAACTACCTCTTCATGGGAGATTACGTGGATCGAGGGTACTACTCTGTTGAAACAGTGACTCTACTTGTGGCACTCAAGCTGCGGTATCGCGACCGTGTTACGATTCTTCGGGGAAACCACGAGTCTCGACAAATCACGCAGGTGTACGGCTTCTATGACGAGTGCTTGCGGAAATACGGAAACGCTAATGTGTGGCGGTTCTTCACCGATTTGTTTGACTACCTTCCCCTCACTGCCCTCATCGATAACCAAGTGAGTCTCTTGTCCCTAGTACCAACCCACCGCGCAAATCAACCTGCTACTATTTCTCATCGCTAACCTTCTGATTCAAAGATATTCTGCCTGCACGGCGGTCTCTCACCTTCTATCGACACATTAGATCATGTTCGCTCCATCGACCGCGTGCAGGAAGTTCCTCACGAAGGTCCTATGTGCGACCTTCTATGGTCTGACCCCGACGATCGGTGTGGTTGGGGTATTTCACCCCGCGGGGCGGGGTACACTTTCGGGCAGGATATATCTGAGGCTTTCAACCATAATAATGGGTTGACCCTTGTCGCCCGAGCACATCAGCTCGTCATGGAGGGTATGTGTATATTCAACACGACGCTAGCTTGTGTGCTCACGCGTGAATGATGCTCAGGTTATAGTTGGGGTCAAGATCGGAACGTCGTGACGATCTTCAGCGCACCGAATTACTGTTACAGATGCGGTAACCAGGCGGCGATTATGGAGATAGATGAAAAATTATCATACAGCTTGTGGGTGTTTTTCCTACTTGGTTCGTTTACTGTTCGTCCTGAATGGTGTCCGCAGCCTACAATTTGACCCCGCCCCCAGAGCGGGTGAGCCGCTGGTTTCACGGCGTGTCCCGGATTATTTCCTGGTACGTCATTGGCTCCCAGAAATGCGGGATGACGTATGTCTAACCTTCCCCGTTAGTAATGGTAACGTTCGCTGGCTGTCGATATTGTACATAGTGCCTGCGTCGTGTATCCTACCTTGGGGCTGCGTCAGTCTCAACAACGAACATTATATACCACGTTACACGACAGAGTAATCACTACTCATCCTTCAACGTCATTAATTCGACGTTCTTCAAGGTCATTTTCCGTAAGATGCTCATTGCTCGCTATATTGCCCCCCGTATGGACTGTGTATTGTAGGAGGATAAAAGAATAGAGAATTGTGATCGAGGCTTGCTTTTCGAGTGTGTACTCTATTGTGCGGTGTTGTGTCAGCCCTGCAGTGGCCAGGGCGCGACGCGGACGTACGACAACGATGGATAACGTAGTCCCTCTCAAGACAACAATTATTAACTGTGCTGGTATTGCTTAGCTTCAAAAAAATATTGTCGAGCAATCTGCCAATCAGAAATTATGATTTCCCGCCATCTTCATCGGGATACTACCCTGTCACTCTGTTTGAAATTCAGTCATATGTAGTAGCACCAGAACTCGCACTAGTGGCACCAAGTACATATTAAGACTTGAACTTCAGAATCAGATGGAACAAGTTCTAGTCTCGCTCGCGCCGCCAGCCACAGACTCTTTTGAACCCCCTTAGAAATCTTCCTTTTCGCTGCGAGATTAGTCACAAGTGCCTCTCCGCCAACTCCGAGTTGGTCAACTCACCAGTTGGCTTGGACTAGTACACCTGCCGCCCCCTTGCAAATAAACACTGAAACAGTCAATGAAAATTACTCACGACATGCAGCACAGAGATCTAAAAGGGGGTAATTACAACGATTGTTTGTACCTATAGGAGAACAAAAGAATGCTAACGGAGAACTGCGACTGAGTCATGCATTTGATTTTCTTGTGGAACACGGTGCGAGCGTCGGACTCCGCTCTACCCTGAGAACACAAATCCCAAAATCAAGATTCTTAGAAGGACTTCTGTTGATTCTGAATCAAATGAACTTCTTAGAGACTCGAAGTAAGCATGATTGATTGCGTACCGAGAACGTTCGAGATGTATGTGATATTAGATAGCGGAATCCGTTTCACCGTGAAAAACAGGATCTACCTCGCGCTGCTATTGATCTTATTTCTGACGAATTGACAGAGTACTAGAGTATAGCTAGATGGATCTACTAATTAGTATTGGACTGAAATCGATTTCCAGGACTCAGATCTCAAATAAGTCAGGGTCACGTGCGCGTGTTGATGGGAACGCGTCGTCGGAGTAGAACTGTACCTAGTACTACGGTCCACAACCGCCACATCAATCCACGGATCAGATTAATCGATGGTCCACCACATTTGCGCCACATTGGCCGACCAGATATAAGGCAAGTAGAAAGCAGTCGTCTTTCTCATCCTCTTAGTTTTCTCCACCTCATTAGGTCTGCTGACAACACTCAGTCAGCGTAACAATACCACCTAGAGTCATGTCCCCTACCGGCGAGACAGGCACATCGTCTACTCCGCCACGCGCCAATGCACCAGCTCATGATGCCTAGCACAATAGAATCCACCCCAAACAGCCGTGGGGCTTCCGTCATCAGCGAGAACATCGGCCTGCTCAGTGCCAGGTACGCACATTTCTTGTTTCATTGAGTAGTACCTAACATTCCATCAAGGGTTAAGAAAGTCCGCCCATGGATTCAGCGTGACATCGAGCAGGTTAAGGAGTGCAAGGCAGATGCCATGCTGCAAGCCCTGCCTGCAGCGTGCTTCTTCCGCGCCTGAGACTGAACAACCCGAACTCCTGCAAAAGTGCCTCAAGGCGGTTCTGCCGGTTTGCAATGGACAGGCTTCCACTGCGCTCGTAAAGTCTTCGGACATTGAGACAGCTCTCAATGAATAGTGAGTGCTTGTTCTCAGTTCGTTGATCAGGCATTTTCATGCTTATAACGACTACAAGCGTACGTCCAGGAGTAGAAAACAAGTTCTACGGCCCTTTCATAAGAACAACTAACATCGCGCTCGCTTGTCTTGAAGAGATCAAGGTTGACGGGATGCGTGCTGCTGTCCCCGCCGTGGATATGATCTGTCAGCAGAACGACATGCCCATGTACCAAACCCACCAGACCGCGAAATCAACTCGGAAGCCCGACGTTGTCATTCTTCCTTTGAACACTGCGTGCACTCCCTTCCAGGATGAGAAGAGCGGCAAGAAGAGCGGCAAGAAGGGCAAACAGAAGGACAACGAGAAAGACAATGCGATGGACAACGCGGTGAACAATTAACGCGACGGACGACGAGAAGGACAATGAGAAGCGCAAGACGAAGCGCAAGGCTCATATGGACACGAATGCAACGGCAAAGCCGAAGAATCTCCCTTGGAAAGATATTCTAGCTTCCGTCGAGTTTAAGAGAAAGACGCCAGGGAGGACGAAAGGGATTAGCCCACCACCCCCTTCGTATACAGTGGCAGACCATATCCCTACCAAGCCGGACTATCTGCCGGTTGATCATCTTAAGGCTGAAGACCCAGCGCCAGGCCTTTCACAGATCCCAGCAACACAACCTGCGCCCGATACTGCGTGTAAGTGATGGCATTTAGGATTCCGAGATTAAACTAAATCGGCCAACCTGCAGTCCTATCTTCCAACCTTACTGCTGCCCAGCCCTCCCAGGGCGGGTCCAGTTCCAAGCGCAAGGCCACGGACGCTTTGGAATCTGCCGCGAAAAAATCCAAGATGGACCCCGATGACACAGAGGACGACAAGGACGACGATCTAGATGTGACCGTCCAGACGGGTCTGTACGCCGCCGAAATGTTTGCATCCAATCTTGGAGTCAATTATCTGCTAAATCTTATCATCATCGGTGGGTTCGTTCGTCTGTCGAGGTTGGTCGCGCTCTTACAGAAGCTTTTTCAGACGATGTAATGTGGATCTGGTATTACGATCGGCAAGGGATCATTCAATGCTCAGGCATCAACTTCATTCAAGATCTCCCGCGATTCATGGTGCTGTTGTATGCTCTACAACGGTTCAATCTTCATGATTGGGGCCGAAACAAGGACTTCCTCCCAGTGCAGGTTGACGGCAAACAATGCCACAAATTCAAAATCAAGGATAAAGAGCTTGGAGAGGTGGATCTGCTGCTTCACACCAGCCACGACGAAAGAGTGACGCACTACGGACTACAAGGACGGGCCACCAATGTGGTCCCTGTCACTAGCGAAGCGCTCGCGAAGAAATACGGCAACTTCCAGGATGGGATGGTGGCCAAGATCTTTTGGGGAGAGGCGAGTCGCACTAGCGAGCCGGAAATCTTGGACAAGGTTGAGGAGATCGCTAAGGTGCACCCAACCGTCCAAGGGCATATTCCTAAGCTGCTTTGGCACCACACGTTCACGAATCCCACGTCCGCCATCCGAGAAGCGCTTGGGGTTCCAGAACCCACCAAGGGCAGTCGCGTACTCTACATCCTCGTATTCCCCAAGCTCCACCCCATCACAAAACTTGACGGCAGAGTGCTTTTCGACGTCTGGCGTCAGTGCATCTTATGTACGTATTTCATTCAATTTATGAGGCTCTTTCTTAACAGTGTGTAGGCCACCTTACTCTGTGGAAGGAAGGTGTCTATCATCGAGATGTCAGCCCAGGAAACCTGATGTGGTACTGGAAAGACGGCAAGCGGATAGGTGTCCTAAACGACTACGATTTATCCTCGTTGGCGAATGTCCAGGGTCCTCAGGGCAACGAGCGTACAGGCACGGTGCCGTTCATGGCGCGCGAGCTTCTCACCGAAGAAGGCCAACGAGGCAAAGTGAAACACCTATATCGCCATGATCTGGAGTCCTTTATGTGGGTTTTCGCTTGGGTTTGCCTGCGTTACAGGCAGGGAGTCCTTCTACCACGGAGATTGCGCCCCCTCGACGAGTGGGCGACTTTGGGCGCCATTGCATGCGGTGAGAAGAAGCTAGTCTTTCTCAACGATTTGTCGCCTTTCGCACCCTCGGACGTAGACAAACTCACATGGAGTGTCATTGTGAGCTGTCTGCTGGTGCTTAAAAGGGATGCCGACGACCGATACTATCTTCGCTTCCAAGAACCGTCGGACTCAGGGGCAGACCAGCAGCCCAACGCTGAGGAATTAGATCCCGATGCTTTTCTATCTAAATTTACATGTTCCAAGAGTTGGCTTGCACTCAGCAAACCTTCACAGTGATCTTCTTTACTTGTTGCCCTACATGCATTGGTTTTCTGCCTATCGGTCCTTGTAACTTTCAGTTGTATATTCACAATACAAACAGTTGATCGGGCACTTCCCGTAGGGTCGTCCTTGAACGCTTCACTGGCAGGGAGTAAGTACATCAACCCAGCACGATGTATTGTGCCATCCTCAGACACCCATATGCGCGTCAAATTATTTCGGCAGGCTATCTCTGTTGACCCCACCGAGTCCCTGAGGTTTCTGTCATGCCAATATGAAAACCACCCGATGCACCGCCGCCGTTGTAGGGGCCAACTTGTACCAGTCTTCCTGTTTTCCATAGACTGCATGTGAACGTTTCCGGCGTTGGTTTATTTCCTCATCCGCACCATAAATTTGCTCATGTCTAGCGCGAGTCGCGTACCAGGTTCCTTCCCATCCGCGGTGTCGAGAGAAGAGGGCTGCATCCGAGTACATAGAAAAAAATAAAATAAAATCACGTGCACTTTGAAATGTCCAAAAGCAGCCCAAACCTTATCCCCAGTGAAAGCTGGCTGTGATGGGAACGGGCGGTGTATGATGAGATGTGGATTACCATTTTCGTACTATGTCAGAATGTGCTTCCTTCTGATGAGTAATGCAATCTTCGCACAACCTGATCACAACGCATAACGTTTGCATCGCGCACCTTCGTATTCTGCATCGCGCACCTTCGTATTCTGCATCGCGCACCTTCGTATTCTGCATCGCACACCTTCGTATTCAACATATTGTATCGCACCTTCGTATTCTGCATCGCACACCTTCGTAATTCAACATATTGTATCGCATATCACGCAAATTGTATCGCACAAACATTGCATCGCATCTCGTATTGCGTCCAAGTCCAGTGCCACTCATTGCCGTGCAGCTCTACCCACCTTGCCTAGTAACTGCCTTTGGTGTACTGGGTGGCAAACGGCATAATTAGGTGGAGCTGGCATCGGAAGGAAAGTCTCAAAGTCTTGGGCATTGTCTTGGTGTGATAGTCTGGTGTGCTGTCACATTGTTATACAAGTTGCAAGGTATGTTACCATCAATTGAATTTGGGCCAACTAAGTATCATACTCATTTCATTAAGATGTTTCCGATTCCAAGTGCGGAGCAGCTCGATGACACTGGTCAATGTGTGTGTGTCTGCAAGAAATATGGGGTTTCCCATGTTGTTTCAGTAGCAACCTGGTACCGACATCTGCATGACGCTGGTACGCAAGAGGAGAAAGAACGTATTCGATCTGGAAGAGTGTTACGAGGTGGTAGCTTGCCACCTCCGAGTCATATCCCTGGCTCTACTGTTGCTAGTATTGCTTCAGGAAGCGTCGCCCGCAACATTTCAGAACCCCCGAACGTTCACAGTGATATTGTGATGGACGTACTTCCACGCACAACACAGCAAGATGATGATGACGCTGCTTGGAGAATTGGGCGTCGCAAGCGTGCTCGGATCACGAAGCCTGACCCAGTTGACCATGCTGAAGCTTTGGTATGTAGATTTTCACCAAATTGATCAAATGATCATTTCTAAAAACTGCATTAAAGCCTCCAGATGATTTCTCCCCCCATTCTCAAGACAATTTTTCCCCTCCCCCTCCAGACGTTAATATGGATGGACAAGGCCCATCTCCCCCTCCAGATGTTGACGTGGACGGACAAGCCCCATCTCCCCCTCCAAATGTTGACGTGGACGGACAAGCCCCATCTCCCCCTCCGGACATTATTACGGACGGACGAGGCCCATCTCCCCCTCCGGACGTTAATACGGACGGACGAGGCCCATCTCCCCCTCCAGACAGTTGATGCAGATGGACGAGGCCCATCTCCCCCTCCAGATGTTGATGTGGATGGACGTGCCCTATCTCCACCTGCAATAGACATTGAGCGCAGACCTCGACCAAATATTAATATCGATGCGCTTGCGGAGAGTGCAGTGCTCCCTAAAATCAGGGAAACCTTCGACTTCATCCTTGCTCTAAAGCATGCATCACTAGATGACCCTATTACCAAGCTAAGCGACGATGCAATCAAACGACTGCGTAATCCACCCAGGGGTCCTATCAACATCAACAATCCGGGAACACGTCAAAGTATTGCCATGTACCTATCGTTGCAGCTTGCATCTCAAGAAGCTTATAATCGTATACGAAGAGCAACAATACGCAATTACGCTCATGACGATGAAGACAGTATCCTGAGCTTTTATAATGTTGAAAAGCTCGTTGCGCAGTACACTGGTGTCGAGTCAATTGAACATGATATGTGTCCCGATTCGTGTTTGGCATTCACAGGCCCATATGCAGCACTTGAGATCTGTCCTCTGTGCGATAAATCACGCTGGGACCAGGGAAAGCTGCGAGCAACCAATGACCGCAGCAAGGTCGCGGCTCAGAAATTCACAACCATTCCGCTTGGTCCCCAGTTGCAGGCCATGTATCGTGATCCCGACAGCGCGCGCCATATGCAGTACCTTCATGAACACACGCAACAGATCCTTGCACAATTAAGGGCTACGCAATCCATTCCTGTAATTGACGACATTGCTGCAGGTTGGGATTACCTCGCCGCAGTACTTGCCAATGATATCAAGCAGGATGATATTGTCCTCATGGTGTCACTCGAATGGCGCGCAGCTTTACGAAAGCAAGCAGTCCGACTGTTGGATGTATGTATGGATCATTCTCAATCTATCGCCTGACAAGCGCTACCAGAAAGTGCATGTACGGCCAGGTGGTTTTATACCCGGGCCAAATAAGCCCAAAAACTTAGATTCATTCCTCTTTGTCGGGATGCACCACCTTGCCGCCCTTCAGAAGAATGGTCTTACGATCTGGGATGCATCCCGCTGACACTGTTTTCACATCTGACCTCCATCTCCTTTTCACAACTGCCGATGGCCCTGGACTCGTCTATTGGGATGGAATGGTCGGGCATAGTGGTAAAAATGGGTGCCGTCTATATTGTGGGGTGAGAGGGAGACGTAAGACTGGCGGTAGCCACTATTATCCTGCATTGCTCAGGCCAGCGGACCGTTGTGCTCGTGGTAGCGATCATCCTGACCTCAATGTCTTCGATCTTCCTCTCGGGGCATCTGAAGGCTATGCTGAAAATCTCGAAGAACTTGTCAAGGCACCCAACACGCGACAATGGGAGAAAAGGAGGACAGACACGGGAATAACCAAACCTCCGCTTATCCTCGGTCTCAGCCCTTCACAGTCCCTCGGTGTTCCTTACTGTATGACTCCCGATATTATGCATCTAGCTGGCAATCTTAGCGACCTTCTCCTCAGTCTGTGGCGCGCAACCATAGACTGCGCAGCTGCCGATAATCCAGCCACCTGGGATTGGGCTGTTCTGAAAGATGAAGACACTTGGATCGCTCATGGTGAAGCTGTCGAGAAAGCAGGTGTATACCTACCAGGTTCCTTTGATCGCAAACCCCGCAATATTGCTGAAAAACTCAACACGAGTTACAAAACATGGGAATTTCAGCTTTATATGTTCGGCCTCGCACCTGCACTTCTATATGGATTGCTTCCGATGAAATATTGGCAAAATTATTGCAAACTTGTGCGCGGATTCCAGCTACTGTGTCAATATCGCATCACAGTTGAAGACCTTCAACATGCTCAATCGCTGCTATGCTATTGGGAACAAGAATTCGAGCACCTCTACTATCAACGCAAAGAGTATCGGCTCCATTTTGTGCGCCCGTGCGTTCATCAAACAAATCATCTCGCTCAAGAAACTGTACAGAAAGGTCCGCCGATCTGCTACGCTCAGTGGACGATGGAGCGAACCATCGGGAATCTTGGTCAAGAGATTCGACAGCCAGTCGCAACCATATGCTAACCTCTCGCAACAAGGAGTTTCGGCGTTGTAGAATCAACACTCTTCTTTCGATGATGCCTGAATTAGATGAGCCACCCAAGGGCCTTCCAGAAGGTGCCGTTGATGTTGGAGATGGGTATGTGTTGTTGCGAAAACGAGAGAGGTACCCAATCTGCCCCACTGGGCAACATGCACTCGCTATCACAGCCTTTCTTCGCCATGGACAACAACTCCCTCGTATACGCAAGTGGGCACGACTTCGGTTACCAAATGGACAGACGGCACGTTCATCGTGGAGAGAAAAACTCAAACCCCTTGAGAAGACGCGCATGTCACGCAATGTCAAGGTATATTTCGAAACGTCGGCTTGTTGTTGTCGGCTTTACTAACTTCAATTAATACTATAATAGATAAAACTTAACAATAAAATTCAATTCGCTGAGGTTTTGTACTACACACAGCTGCCAGTTAATGTCGCCGGACAGAACGCAGACAACTCGGATGACGACAATGAATGGCACTTCGAGAATGTTGCAGTCGTGCAGATGTACTCCATGCCGCACAAAGAACTCCTCAAACTCTCGTCGCAGACCCTCGTATCCTGCACACTCCTTGATGATATTCTGGCAATTGATGTCAAAAATATTGTTAGCGTTATCGCAATGGTCCCGCACGAACCGACATTGCCTTCTGGAGTTACAGAGAGCCGCTTTTTTATGATGGAGCGGCCTGGTCTAGAAATATCGAACCTGGGAGTACCATATTCTGGTTTTGATATTGGAGGTGGTGATGAGCTAGAGGATGATGATAATGACAACGGTGCTGATCTTGAGTAGTTTCATTGTCGTAACTAGTACTTCATGATAATTCTTGCAACTCGAAGCCTTTTCCTGCGCATGATACAGCTTCAAGATTATTGATTACAGGTATTACAGGTATACGGCGACTGTCTAACAGTATCATATTACAGTACAATGCAATGTATCTGTGATGAGCAACTATGGAAAAAATGTGCAAGTACAACATTGGAAACGAGTGGTAAGGTGGAAAGGAAAGGCGTGCAAGTAAAGCAAAGCGAGCATGTGCAAAGCAGAGGACAGGAAGAATTCACAACAGTGCCTTGGAAAAAATCTGATGTTCATCGTACATTTCATCACGGATCTGCTGATAGAGGGCCCTTTTTTTAGCCACTTCTGCTGCTATTTCCGAGTGGTAAAAAGGTCGAACTGAATAGTGCCATGGCCGAAATGGGTCGAGCGGGTCCTGGTTTGGATTTCCATAAAGCCTAGTAAGTAGACGGCAAGGGTAAACTGGGGAATCCCTTCAACATCATGTCAGTCGAAGCATTACAAATACAAAAGGACGCACATGGAAGTGGGTTCTTTGCCTTCCTCGACCTCTACTTTTATTTGCTCTATCTCATCTACCTTGATCTTCATATCATCTCCCACTGCGCTCGCAGTCATGAGTCTCTCAGCTTTGTTAGTATCTTCACTCTTGATCTTGTCACTGGTGGATTGAATCGATCGATTCTTGCTGTCTTAGATGTCAATATGAGTCTACAGTCGTTTGAAATAGAACATACATCATATCCGACAGGCTTGGTAGTGACTTTGTGATGTCCGAGTCCTTGATACGAAAAACAATCCTCTGCAACATATCGGATAAGAAAGGTATCAGCAACAAAAAAGAAACCTCACTTCAAGGTGAGTCGGTATTTCTAGATCAAAGCAGTACATGTCCCATGAAGAGACATCACCACTAATCTCAATGAGGCCGACGCTACCAAGCACACTGATTGTTGCATTCGACATGGAAGGAAGTAAGTGAAATGAAGGTACACACTGCGCCAACTTGATAGGACTTAGTAGATAATTTTGAGGCTTGGCGGACAATTCCGACGGAGTTTCAAGGTAATATTACTGGTCTCATGGTATGCATGGCGTCTTTCTCTCGAATCTCTCCACCGTATCGACTGTCTAATATGTTTGAGAGCAGCTCATTTTCTCATGGCGGGCACAGGCAATTCAACTTTCCTCCATCAGGTCAGAATTTATTACAAAATCCTCGGTGGGGAGGGGATTTCACTCCATCCCCCCTATCTGGCGCTACACCATTACCAGAGGACCCTTTCGAATCAGGCACTTCGCATGCACAACGCTTCCACCAAGTAAGTGCCCATTATATGTTTGTCGCACCAGAAATATATTTTTAGGGTGCATATATCCATGATCACCAGCAAATATCGGTCCTACAAGACCGTTGTAAGACTTTAGAGCTGGAGGTGGTCAAATTGACTACCGAGCGTGACTCCATCAAGTAAGTTTATTTTTGTAAGGGAGATTCAGCTAACTTCATCACATGGCAGGGAGATGTTTGAACGGCTTGCCAGTAGTACTGGAAGGCTTCACCAGGCTGACCCTCTGCAGCTCAATGCGCCACTCATTTCCAACTCTAATCGACCATCACGCACTACACATCCGAATGTCCGTTTCTGGGAACAGGCCGATTTTCAGAAGTGGTGTGACACTCCTGCGGGTCAAGGTCACCACTCTTCACACACAAACCTGGTCTATCTTGAAGACGAAAATGGCCGCACGGTCTCGTCACGAACAATCAAAGCCATACGAAGGGTGCTCCGTGGTGGCTGGAGCGAGCTTGTTACTCGCAAGATCGCCCCGCATTCTTGGGGTAAACTATCAGCATCTGGAAGACAATTGATCCATAACTTCATGGAGAACGAGTTTCCCCTTTTCAAACTTGCTAACAACGGATGGAAACTAGATCACCTTGCTACTACGACATACCCTGCCTGGCGCCGAAACAATCTTGACACCAATTGTGACTGGAAGTCAGGCAGGTAACATCAAAAAGGAGGACGATAACGATGACATCGATAACGAATGTGCTGAGAGTGATGGAGAAGGCAGTAAGGGGACAAAACGAAAGCAGACAATCAATTCAGTTAAATGCGAAGGGATGAAAAAGAAAAGAAAAAGTTCGTCATTATCTTGATTTAAATACCACATTAACGCAATTATATCTTAGTTACTCCTACTTCAAAAACACATCATGTCATGTCCCTATCGTCCCCATCTCCACCACCTGCTCTCAGATCTCTGACGCCTGCTCTCAAATCTCCGTTGCTTGCTCTCAGATCTCCGTCGCCTGCTCTCGAATATGTGTCGCTTGCTCTCAAATCTCCAATGCCTGCTCTCCGATCTCTGTCGCCTGCTCTCCGATCTCCGTCGCCTGCTCTCCGATCTCCATCGCCTGCTCTCGAATATGTGTCGCTTGCTCTCGAATCTCTGCCGCCTGCTCTCAAATCTCTGACTCCTGCTCTCGAATCTCCAATGTCTGCTCTCAAATCTCCGGCGCCTGCTCTCGAATCTCCGATGTCTGCTCTCGAATCTCCAACGCCTGCTCTTGGATCTCCATTGCCTCTCATTCAGTCAATCGCAACTGTGGATGCTATTACTTCACTCGATGCTGTGTCTAATGCAGACAAGAATATCCCTACCGAAAGCCAAACGATTCCTGCACCAAAACCTGTTAAAATTACGATTATGAATCCACTGTGAGTTCAAATGTCTGGCTATATTCGCTACTAACACAAGTCAGCAGTTCTACACTCGCTCTATGTGCCGCAAACATGCAGTTCCCACCACCTCCATCTCCACCAGTAGTAGTCAATCCTGTGCTCGGGTGCGCAGTCCAAAAGGCGACCACAAGCACTGCTGAGCCATTGTCGAAGCCAAAGAAAGCCAAGGGGAAGATGCGTCCAAGTCAAACAAAGAATGGACGGTAAGCATATCACCGTTTCATAGAGCTCGACACTTACTACTATACACTACAGTAACTTATGTGCCCATCGCTGGCTCAAACAGATCAAAACGAATGGGACGACTGACGAGTTTGGTGTATATTATATGGGCCTTGCTGAGAATCAGCGCACGGTATGTTATTCTTTGGCCCTCTTGCTCCTATATTCATCTTCACATTATATTAGGCTTACGATAAAGAGGCTGCTGAACTTGTAAGTCGCTATCTGATAGTATTTACTATACTGACGAGTCGGATGAAATTTTCATAGGTTGCCACCGACAAATGGGACAAGACTGTCGGGCAAGGCAAGATGTACTAGGCTCTGTTTTCGACCCGTTTTCAACACGTATTCTGCTCATTCGCTTTTCGATCCGTCCGCTGCATTATCGGCTCGTCTTCATCATGCTTGCAACATTTTTTCGTCAGTTTTCGAGCTGTAGCATCCCCCACTACGTCTATTACTGTGTACCTATGATATCCCAGGCAATTGTAGATGTGCGATATAATAATATCCTACACTATTAGAGCATATTCTGCGAGGGCAGCCAGAGTGCACGTGTATATGCGCTGATATGAACCTGGTGTGCTCGAATCATATGGGAGCATCAGAGACTTTGCCCCGTAATATTGCAAATATGATATGATTCTCATCTTACTTGATAAATATCACCTTGAGTGTTTTTTTCAACGACCGCTAGCCAAATCACATCTCATCATACACCGCCCGCTCCCATCACAGCCAGCTTTCACTGGGCCTTATCCCTCGTTCTCTCTCCCACCTGTGACTCCCACATAACGACAGTAATTATAGGCGATAACACATGGGTATCGCACCTATAAGACAAGGGGGTTACAGCGTCCCAGAGCCTCCTTCAATATTGTTTGAATAAAGAGTGACTTGTACTGTACAGCCAGGGTGTAGGTAGTATATACTAAGTACCGCCGGCATTTCGGTAATGACGTGACGTGGTCCCAGCGCCGTGCTAATAATATCTGACCCTTCGTGCTCGCTGTGTCGCACGATGAGCTCGCGTATCTCATGATGGTGTGGATGGATTGACAGCGCGTTTTCGACGAACAGTGCAAAACTAATGATTGTGATATGTAAATTAGTCATAAAGCTATCTACTCCTCATAAACCTCATGGTCAAGAAGGTCCAGTCGCGAGAAATCATCGGCGACGCGGAGGACGTCTTGCAGGCTCTTCGATGCTTCCTCTTCCACCTCCTCTGCCTGCTCCTCATCATCAAGGTCATCCGGGGTATCTGGGTCTACTGTAGATGGTCTATTAAAAGGTATGTGTTCGGCAAGCAGTCGTGATGGGACCTGTGCGTTCGGTGTGCTGCAGCTTTCCCCGAGACTTGTATTAGTACTTACACCTAGGACTATTGTCCTGCTGAAACCAGGAAGCTTCGATATCTCATGGAGCCACCTCAGGTGGCGCGAATTGAATCGTCCTCGAGCGTTTCGATGTATGGCAATTTGATGGGCAATGGCTGGACTGGTCACCTTCAACTGATCCTTGCATGTCCACAAATACTTGTCTTCATCTCGGATGTAAGTTACTAGACGCCGTACCTCCACATTCAAGCGCTGAATTTCCTCCCGCGCCCGACACATCTTGAAGTACAAGTCCATCGCACTGCGAGCAGCAGCCGATGACCAAGGCTGTTGAGAGACGTCCGCACGTGTGTCACGTAGGAGGTCAAAGTCGGCGAGAAACACATACTCCACGACCTCTTCCCACTTCAGCGTTTGGCGGGGAGGGTGCATTGCTTCTGCGATGGTATTGTATGTGTTGAGGGCAGTTTTGATGGCGACAGAGCGTGTCTGTAATGCTTTGGCGATGTGTTTACGTAGTTTGTAGCCTATGGTAACATTAGAATCAGCAGTTGCAAGCAAGACAACACCTATACAACCTACCTGTACCTGCCCGGTTCATCTTTGATAGTTCAAATATACGTGCTATGACCAAACCTTCGAGTCGATCCAGTGCACGCTGGTACTTCCTCTGAGCAACGAGCCTCCCCACCCTCTGCCAATCTGCATCTGCAGGAGTCCAGCGCGTCACGATCTTGAGCTTACACTCGAGCGCTTGAATGAGCTTCAAATTCCTCTCGTGGTCCTCGACAGCATGACGCTGTGCGGTTTCGGCCTTGCAAGTATGTTGCATCTGGACGTCATACGATGTAACATCCTCGTGAGAATACACCTGGAAGGCTGCCATTGCAGCTTTGAGAGCCTCCCTGAGTGAATGAAGTGTTAGTGAACAGAATCCCGATATACCTTGGGAGCCACACTCACTCGCTTGCAGTTAAATTTACCAGCCTTTGCCAGTACTCCATCTGGAGGGTTTCATTTTCAGGCTCTCACATTAGACCTTGAAGGTAGACCTTTTCCTCTTCTATCCAGCGCTCGAAAATACTCTCGTCCGTGAGTCCTAGGTCTTGCATGAGCCTCGGTAGAGTTGCATTGCCATCATTCAAGATGTCCAGTGCTTGCTTGTAGTTCCCATGCAAAAAATTCGCTAACACCATGATTATGTCAGCTAGCGTTGGATCAAGGTATTAGCCATGCTTACAAAGATGAGCGTAGACCTCGAAGTCGTCAGTGTGCTTGAAATAAGAGTCGATGGCTTGTTGCCGATGGAACACGCTTGCATAGCGCAGCGCAGATGCCAGAGAATTTGATTTTGAGAATGTCCTTTCGCAGGTTTCGAGATCCTCGAGGCCTAGACCCTTGATGTACGTTGTAAGCGAAAACAACTGGCACAAGCGCCTGTGGGCATGTCCGTGGAAGGCGCCAACCAGGCAGGTGTGTTGAAGTGAGCGTGCGAGTGGTCCAAGGGAGCTCTGGTCGAGTGTCGTTTTGAACTGACAACCAATATCATACCCACCGCCCAGATTTTTCCCAAATACGTCCATCAACTTCGACACGACAGCCAATGGGTACTTCGCGCTATTTAGACCCTTGTCAGTGCAATGATTGAGAACAAAAGATAGTACTTACAGCTCACCGCTTTGTACCATGTCTGCAATAAGTAGAGAAAACCCGTGGCGGCAGACAGCCACGAATGCACCTGTTTCATCATATATCCCCCAAGCCTTCTTCGTCTTGGCGTCGTCCATGTTTTTCCATCGTCCGGCGCAAGCATTTTTGGCGGCTGTATCCTCCTCATCACCCGCAATAGCAGTTTGTGCCGAGTCCCTGAGAATACTGGTCTACAAATGCGCGAGGTGAGTAACGATCACTTGTGAATTGTTGGCCCGTAGGAACTTCAGATGAGGGAGCGACACAGTCATCAGCATCATGATCCAGAGATCTCCGAAGGACTCGCTTTAAGGAGTCGTTACCGTCCATAGCATACAGCAGCCTGATGTTAGTTCCTCTTATCCTTGAGTTCATACGTACATGCAGGACACGCATGCTTAAGGCGCCAGTCGGGTGAGTTGCATTGAAGCGATTCAGCTACGAGGGCTGCCACGGAGCGTTGAATTTGAAGGAATAAGTCGAATGCAATGGAAATTGACGGGATAGATGTCTATGAAATTCCACCTGCACATGATCAGCACAATAACTAGAGAATTTGAAACAGTTACCCCTTGCAAGTCGCACACAGTTTTCACAAAAGCCTGGGATAGACAAGTGAGGACTCCTGAGATGCGCTACACGATATAAGTCAAGTGCTTCTGTGGTTATGCCTACAGTTGGTGATATAGGCGAGCATGGCATTACACCTTGACGCACCAGTGCAGAGCTGATGGTGGCGTCTTGTTGGTAAGATTTGAAGGGTCGCTTTCTCAGCGTCTACAATGAGCATTGCCGTTATTGATATCAAAAGTAAGCACAACAACAACAGATCACTCACAGAAGACGTCAATCACGCTGATTGACCATTCACCACAGTCCCGCGCCGAGTTCCTTTCCAATCTCTCAGAAAAACTCTTGAACTCCTCCTTGGATTTTGCAAGACTCCAGGCAAGGTAAGTGTCGGTCATCACAGGCATCTGCTCTGTAAATGCCTGGTTCCTGCGGAGGATGCGATCACGACGAGTGCGGTTATCCACGCTGAAGGATCTTCAACTCAGCTGAGGGTGAAGCTGATATAATTGTTGAAGGGAGGAAACATATGAGTGCGCATATGTTCGTCCCTTAGGGGAAGCGGAGAAAGCAAATATCCACTGGTCAACTCTAGGGGGAATGCGCAAAGCGCGTGATAAGGCGAAAGCGCGGGAACAAAGGCGCTATAGGCGCGCGAAGCGCGGGAAAGTCGCGCGTCGAAAAGCGGAACTGGGTGTGAATGGAAAGCGGTATGCGAGCGATTAGTGAGATGTTAAGACGTGTACTGAGATGCTGATAGACAACTGATGCGGATATGGCCACTAGAGCTAACTGCTACTGGGGCTTTGCGATGATTTATTCAAAAATAATAAAAACTCGGAGATGGTGACTGTCTATGATGATGGTGGTCCGTGGTAATGTGTGTTGTGTAAAGTAAAAAATGTGTAATGAAAAATGTGTACCAAGTGAAAATAAACATGGTACGATGTTGAAATAAATGATAAATGGAGAAATGCATACCTGGGAACTTGGTTGGACATGGGAAAACACAGTGGGAAGTCAGGCGCCCTATAGCGCTTAGGCGCGGGAAAATTCGCCTAAAGCGCGCGCAAGTTGCGCAAGTGTCGCCTATGTCGCGGAAGTGTTGCCTAAGTCGCGCGTGTCGTGCAAACGTCGCGTTTATCGCGCAAGTGTCGTGTTACATGCATGATACTGTAGACTTGACCTATGTTGCAATATGTGCCATTGTGAGGCTACCCAGGATCGAGTCTCTACAACGCGTCGAACACGATTGTTTCTGCTCATAAAGGTATGTCGCACAGTATCAGCGGTCAACACACACTAACACTCAATTTTCCAGAAGTCTCCTAACACCTCTCTTGCAAGGTCAGTGAACTCGCCGCCAGCATGACTGATAGCGAGCGGTTCGGTCCCATTCCAGATATGCCAAAGCTCATATCATCACAGTCATCCTGCCAGACCTCTATGGTGGTGTTATTCTCTCTCAGTGCTTCGAGAGCACAACGCTCGTCCAAGCCCATGGCTATACAACAGGTTTATATATATATATATAATGTATTGGATTAATAAAAAAATACCTTGTAGACGTGCTTGCCGCTGCTCGTTAGAAGTTGCTGCTTGCTGAACCAACCGTGTGTGTTTGAGCACTTTGGATACGCCATTGACTGGCAACCCATTCTTGTTCCTAGATGCCCCAATGTGCCGAATTGATCGCAGAGAGAGATTAGTGCGGACTCGCTGGCGTACACTATGCGCCATTCAGATGTATCTTACATTTGTACTAGTACCATAGGTCAAGTCTTATTGATTTTCCACGTGACTGATACTCTGTAGCACTCCGACCAAGTCCTTGGTGAGATCGCTACTACGATGTCGACACCATCTAGCCGGGGTGATCATATCTAGGACTTGCACAATTTGTTGCAAGGGATGTCACTATCAGGTGGGTGTTTTACTCGTTCAAAACCTAACATGTTCACACTCTTAATAGATTTATCATTCAACACCGTCACTTGGAGCCGTAAGACAACTGAAGAGTCCATCACACTGTCCAAATCATTGCTCCCGCAATCTACGCCTGCCAAAAAACCATTGCCCACTCTCCCTTCCACCTCAGCTCGCTTGCATCACCCAAGTCACCCACCTTCTGCTGCTACATCATCCCACCCCCAGTCGCAAACTGTCACCCAGACACCGTGCCAAGTCACGGTTCCAATACATAGTGAGATCCATCCCCCACGAGCCAGTGAGACACCTGAGGGGTTCTGGGTTATAATAGTCGGGCAGGAAGTTGGTGTATTTTACTGCTGGTAAGTGTCTGGGTAGTTGTGGGCTTGTGTTGGCTAAATTTTGAAGCTATCATTAGGTCCAACGTTGCTAAATGAACGAATTTCATTAGTGACAACGCCCAGAAAAGATACCCGTCGTTTCAGGAAGCATTATCAGCATATACGGTCAAATATGACGAAGGTAGGGTTCGAGCAGTTCCACTGCCAGGTGGCGCCTTCTGGCCATCCCCTCCAGAGTCCTCGCCCAACCCTCCTTCACCCACACTCTCTGTAGACTCATCTGTGAGCTCAGACTCGTATGAGCTATGGTCGCAGGTTGAGGACTTGATGGAGACGATGAGCCAACTGTAATAATTGCTACATAGTTTTGATTGTGTGCCGTACATACAAAGAAATGTATCTTGCCTTACTCCTTGTCACTGCGATTGCGACTGTGACTGCGACTGCGACTGCGACTGCGACTGCGACTGCGACTGCGACTGCGACTGCTACTGCGACTGCTACTGCGACTGCTGATGTGGGCGTAGGATTGAGTGCAGGCAGGGGCAAAGTTGTAGAAATCATTGATTCCATTTCGATTGACTTCTGGGGGTGGTATACTAGCTAGTCTGATTCCATTTCGATTGAGTGGACTTTCGAGAGGGGTATACTTGAACATATATTAACTCTGTGTCTACAGGTAGTGTGCAGTGAATAGTTGTGTGATGTACAACAGATTTACTGGCTGATGTAAGGTAGTGTGGTAGCCTGTGCACGTACTAAATGTGTCACATTTGACGAGCATCCCAAACAGCCGTCCGTTATCGTAAAATCTCTAAGTCACTTGCAACACTTTCTTTCAGCTTCGGTTCAAGAATGTATATCCGGTTCTGATCATTGAAGCGCTCTCCTTCTTCAAAAATTTCAAACACATTGTTTTTCACGATCCCAGACATCCGCACAATCTGTTTGCTATGCGTTCGCTATCTGTTCGCTATCTGTTCGCTATATTTACTAAATGTTCGCTATGTGTTCGCTATTTAACATGTTTCACCGTGTTGACCTAAAGGCTCCTAAGAACCATGACATTGCTAATCTAGTTACAACCTTCTAGTTACAACCTTGTATTTAGTTTCACCTCAAAGAATTTTACCTGTGAGATGACACAAAGGAGCAAATCGTTATAGTAAGATAGTGTCGCCCTTAAGCCGCTCCCTGCAACACAGACAAAGCGTGTGCACGACCTCATGAATACCCTCCAGGAGGACCCTCCCTTCTCCAACGTGTTGTGCGCATTCATCGAGGAATACAGTTGTGGCGCGCTCCCCCTTTATGCGAGCACGCTCAAGTAAACCGTTGAATTCCTCATTCCACATGCTCTCTGATTCCCACTCCTTCTGCCATTGCCCGATGTCACAACCCTTTTAACGAATTAACGCAGGGGCAGAGACTAGGACTCAAACAAAGGTTATCAAACAAAGAAAAGATAATGAGCAGGGACGTCTTAGGATTGCTAGCAGTAAGCTAATACAAAAGAGGTTTGAACTAAAGAACTACTGACTACAACGGGCTACCTATATACATACATTGAAACGGAGACTGAATCTGAATCTGAACTAACTAGCCAATCATTAAATAGGAAAGGAAATTGTACGATGATCTAAATATAACTACACTATGATGTCATGAAACGTGTAACAGCTGTGCAAGGGTTCTCGGGGTTTCTAGAGTCACGTGACTTGATCGCTTGGGTAAGGAAGTCGAAATCTGGGATGTTGGAGATAAAGGTAGTAGGCGCTAACGGAATAGAGAAGTTTGGATATGTAAAGGATGGGTTTGGGTTAGGGTTTATGAAGGTCATAGGTACAGACGCTGACTGAGCGCTAATGACGGGCGCTTGTGATGGGCGCTTAACGGGTGTTTTACGAGTGTCTTTAGAGGTTTCACGAGTGTTCAAGAAAGAATAGTGGTTCGTATTTGGAATTCGTGACACCCGATGAGGTTCTCGAGTGTTTGCAGTGTGGGAGTGCCACAAGAACATGGTAGGTCGTTGTCCATGTCCATGGTGAGCACAGAATCATCAGCCTCATAAGAGAAATCGTCGTCGTCCATGGTGAGTACAGAATCATCAGCCTCATTAGGGAAATCATCGAGTGGGGTGACCACAGAATCATTGGCCTCGGAAGAAAAATCTTCGAGTGGGGGGGGAACTGATGGCAGCAACAGGCTGTTGTTCAGCGTCGTAAGGGAAATTGCAAGACTGCGTTGTTTTCCTGTCAATTATGTTAGTGAGTTGGAGCGAGTGGGCGTAGGACTCACTTTTTCATGTTGTGGTAAATTTCCTGTAAGCAGAAAGCCTGATCTTCATAGTCCGACTGGGAAATTGTACGGGAAATGTTGAGTGGGGGGAGCCAGTAGTAGGAATGGGTGAATGTTGCTCTGCGGGAGATAACCGATCTTCATAGTCCAACTGGGGATCATGGGAAATGTTTGTCGCAATCGAGTGAGGGGGAACCAGTGTCAGGAATGGGTGAATTTTGCTCTGCAGGAGGTTGCGTCTGCGTTTTTCTTTGCCCTGTTGCTGAAAATTCCTCTAAGTAGTCGTAGATTTAATTGAAGAGCATAGACTTACCGAGCCACTCGAAGACGTGCTTTCGCGTTTTGGCTGTCTCGGATTCTGCAAGGCAAGGTAAGCAACATTCTCTGTGGCTGAAAACCTTCAACTTACCCTGGTTTAGCGAGCCAGCACTCTGTGGCCAAGCACTGCCTCAAAGCAGGACTGCAGGACTTGTCCCGACGACCCTTTGATTTGAATTCCAATGTCAGATGAATCAACACAGGTGCGAGTATTTGAGCTTACCATGCTGCAAAATTGAAAGAAAGAGAGACAATCTCTGGTGAGATACCGCTGATCGACAATATATTTCTTGATAACATCATTGATCTGCGAGCAAAATTGAAGAGGGAAATGAGATGGTCGTTGTCTTGTGACGATCAGAAAAATATACGTTGTGACAGTATCTGTCATTGAAAGATATGAGGTTGCGGTGCTTGCGCGGATGTAGACTCGACTTGATTACTACATTTGGAAATGTTGTGGGTCCAAGGTTTGCGTTCAAGTTGTTTCACTCACTATCACCGTGCGTGTCTATGGGTGTCATGCAGCCACATCGTTACCAGGATACCTACTCACCTACTCTACTGCAGACATAAGATTCAAGACTGTTTGTCTTACCACAGTGAGTCCCACTCATCGCATTCTGTGCAACTCCGAGTTGGAGGGACTCATCATGATAGTATGTCATTGTTTGATGCTCTCGTTGGCGACGTGATTCGCCACATGAGATCTATAGTATGCCGGGTGCTTGGAAGTTTGACTCGAAGGAACAGGACAAGGTCATATTCACTGTACTTTGTGATTTTGTGAGTGACTTATTAATGCACTCCGTTCTCAATGCTTACCCGACCTACAGCAAATACCAGGTGTAACTCAGACTGGATTGAAAGGAACAGGACGAGGTCATGCACACCGTGTTTCGTCATATTGTGAGTGGCTTTGAATGCATTGTTGACGAGTCTCAGTGCTGATATAACTTGAATTTACTTAAACCTCTAGTTGCATTTACAGCAGCTCAAACAGCAGCAGACAGGGACCTGAGACGTGCAGCAAAGGTAGGTATATATTATCATCATATCCTGCACTGCCTCACGTGGCGTTAGCAGTTCCAGATCAATATCGACCTCAAGATCTTAACCCGATATCTGTTTATTTTAAAAATAAGTGAGGTGCTCTCAATGACACTGTAGCGACGCACACGACACGTCGTGCTTTTTTTTTTGCATCATCTGTACCATTTTTTTGTATCATTCGTACCGACCAACACATACTACGACCCCTCGTTGCAGCACCTGCAATGAGCTTTATCTATTCAGCTGATGACTTCGACATTAATGGTAATTTTGTCTCCACTGGACGCTTTCAGGATCTCCCGAACGAAGGCAACGGTCTTACTGGACATGTTCCCTCGTTCAACGAGATTGATTGAAATGACCCAGCACTCTACACCATGCCCCTGACAAGTGATGAGATAGCAGCTATCATGTCTAATACCAATAATTCGCTCCCTAATCTCCCGCCTGGTCTCCCGCCCCCCACGTCTGATCCCCTATTGCGTCAGCTTTCCGAATCACGCTCCCCGCTCCCTGATTTCCTGCCCCCCACGTCTGATCCCCCATTGTGTCAGCCTTCTGAAGCACGCTCCCCGAGTCCTGAGAGGTCAGAGCCACTGCGCGAGGCCAATTCATCCAGCTGGGCAGCACAGAACCCAACACGAAGCATTATCCGCCCTCGGATGCCACCACCTCGACTAACAGATGCACAAAAGGCATCTCGAAAGATCAAGAGGGACCAGAGGACTGAGAGAACGAAGCACTTACATAACGCAGTCGCTGAATACCTGGACGAACAGAAAACAAAGATTGAAGCACTCTCTCGGGCTCACCACATTACACCCAAGCAAATCAACGACATCATCGGCAGTCAGACACATTATCGCACCACACGTAAGAGTCAATTGATCCATGCACTTATTCATGCCAAGGCAAAAGAGGTCAATGCAGGTAATTCAATTTTTTTTGCTCAATAGTACCATGAAGCTTATCTTGCGTCAACTAGACCTACCCACAGGCTCTCGATACTCGATGGCCGAACTGCGCGAGATGGTTGTGACTGACCCCAACACAGAAAACCTGACACGGGAACAAAAGGAGGCTTACATTGCAGCTCTTGAGGAGCATCGCGAAAGAAAAGTTGCCGGTGTTCGGGCTCATAATCTGGCAGCTGCGCGAGATGTTGTAGCCACGACGGATAGGATCGTCAAAGAGGTAAGTTCAAGTCTTGATGGGAATCAACTGAACTCATCTTTTTCTTTGAAGCTAGATGATCTACGAGTTCGGGCAGGTGTCTATGGAACGCTCTTTGTCGTCCGCGGTCACATCAACGACACCCATTCAAAGCGTGATGCACGGCACGGATAATTCTGAAGATTTTTGGAGGATGTGTACGAGCATCCCATGGCTGACTTTCTTAGGCAATACAAACAATGGGCGTGCACCCAGAATCAAAGTAAGCCATTCATTTCATTATATATAGCTCAACTTATGCAATGTTCTGTAGATCTCAATGAACGTGACTCTTTGGGAGCTGTAAGAAAGCAAGTATGCAAGATGATCCTCCAGGGCCTAGGTGAGTGATGGCGTTGTTCTACATATGCCAACCCCGTCTAACATCATTTGCAGTTGCCATGACAGGCAAAAAAGATATCGCGATGAATTACAGTAACTACGAAACATCCGTCGTTGAAACATACGGAGTGCGGCTTGTGGGCTGGCCCCATGGTGTCAAGTTCGTTAACCCTTCGAATATTGGGACCGTCGGTGATATTCGCAAGCTCCGGGATGCTCTCAAGACACGTACATGCTACTGGGCTGCTTTATCACCAGCAGAGGTCAAGACTCACGCGTCCGAGCTTGATACACGCCGTTCAGCCGGGGAAGCCGTTCGGAAGCCCCGAAAAAAACGTTCAGATGCTGGAGTCCCTCGGAAGCGTAAAGGTGGGGCCTAGCGCAGGACGGGCAAACAAAGAGAATCATAGGCCATCGAAGAGAGGGAAGAAGAACCCTGCCCAGCCGCAGGAATGTCCCAAAAGCGCTGAATTTGTGGAGTCTTCTGACGAAGAAGGGGAGGCTGATGAGGAGTAGTGTAGCTTAGTTTACACGTTCATATGACTGATTTATAGTGCTGCCGTGGTCCGGTTCGGTCCGGTTCAGAGGGTCCTCAATGAGAACCGAGAACCGAACCATGGTCTGGTTCTACAAAATTGTTGAACCCAGAACTGGACCATCGAGAACTGTTCTCAACGGTCCAGTTCGGTTTTTTTCTGGTCCGAACGCGAACTGAACCGTAAAATTTTTCAAACATAAAATTTTGACACAGTACTTCTATATAACTGAGTAGCTAGTCCAACTACTTAGCTGCATGCCCCTCTGCCTCTACCATTGAAGTGGATTGCAGTGCAGAGTCAATGACCAGGGCCAAGAAGTGTGGAGATTTGTGAGATGGGAAGAGGGTCTGCAAGGGCGGTGACAATGGACAAGTGCATGTAAGCCCGCTTGGGGTTGGCACATGTGGAGAGGATGCAATCACATAACTTGTACACCTCCGTTCCTGGTAGCAGCGAGCTCATCAGCTTGAGCATCAGCTGTACCCGATCGCGTGGATCCTTGTCTTCATTGTCGACAATAAATTTCATCATCGTAGATGCTATGATGAAACATCTGCCAGCGTGGCTTGCCAGGTGTGTGAGTTCATCCCTCGTTGGCTGAGGGAAATCAGGATGGCGACTTTCCAGATCTTCGAAGGAATGCCGCAGGAAAGTACAGATGTCATTGTCAACATCTGCGCCATCTAGCGAGATGATAGTAGCAATGCCCTCCCCAGAGGTTTCACTGGTATCTCGCACACCAGTGGGCGCACCTCTTCGTTCTGAAAAGCTTTACAGATATGTGATTCCGAGTGACTCGTGAGCAGGATGTGGGTCACAGGCAGATCAGGCTCACGAAGAGCCCGTGTAAGGGAAAGGATGAGTTCGGTAAGCTCGGGTTCGGATGTGCGTTCATCAAGGGCATCAATAACAAATGACAATGGTGGACATCCACACAATCTGAGTCAAAGTTTCCGGAGGGGTTGGAGAAAGAGAGCCCCCATATGTCTGGTCGCAGAGAGGTGTGTCTGGGTTTAGTAGAGCGGGATGTTGTTACAGTCAAGTACGCCCCTATTCATTTTCTTTTCTTACATCATTGTATTACATCACGATCGCATCTTGCCGTCGCTAGATGATCTATTCTTGATATCTTTGACTCGTCTTATCTTTGACTCGTCTTATCTCCGACTCGTCTTATCTCTGACTTGTCTTTATGATCTCATCGTACCTGCCCTAAAGTCGTTACCGTTTACTATATAAACTCGTCCTGTACTATGTAGTTCTTTACTTTAATCTTACTAGGTTTTACCTGAAACTTCCTTCGCTTAAGACCTCCAATCTTAAGTCGTATTGAACGTGATTCAAGTCGAGGACACTCTCCTAGACTTGTCTTAGAAACCACTGAACTTCGGTATACGCCGAAGCCTTGAACCGACCTTGGCCGATTACTCTTATCGAGTAGCCATACGTCAGAACCATCCTAGTTCGTAACAAAAGATTAAAGTCTTTCTACGAATACATCGCTATCACGCGTTGTAAAACCCAGAAACAGAACAAACCCTGGTCATCACGACAGATAGAACCCCAGGTCCCCAGAAGCTAACAAGCTGACGTCCTTGACACCAATCTTTGGCGCTTTGAACCTAGGTGCTGTACCACCCCTACCACCTTTGAACCCCCCGATGTCTTCTACGAAACCCATTGAAATCAAAATCGGTTTCTCCCCGGTCTTTGACGGGGGATAGAGATAAATCCGAGGGATTCTTGATGTCATGCCAGTCCTATCTCGATATTAACGAGAAAATCTATGTCGACGACAAACAGAAGATCATTTTCGTAACCTCCTTCATGAATGAAGGGAACGCACGCTACTGGAAGGAAGATTTCCTCAGACAAGCGCAAGACCCCTAACAATAAGACCACCGCAGGCCTTGTCAAAGGATACGGTACATGGACTGAATTCCTTGCCGACTTCAAAAGCGCGTTTAGGCCGCTTGTGTCATATACCATATACCGGTTA